TGATGCAGCTCAATAATCCATCTTTAATGATCATTAAAGAAGAACCCGTCCAGAGGACCTATACAATTTTTTTCCTTTTGATTTTTTACCTGGATTACTGAGATGCATCAGGACATTGTGCTTTAATGTTTTTAAGAGTAGGTTTAAGTCAAAAAATGACTTTAAGTTGATGTTCTCCCCGCACACAGCCCAGCTTCCTGTTACATCCACGGACTGTGGGCTGCTCCAAAGACATGTCATCGTTCCATCCTTTACACGTCGCCTCATCTGACCGAGGTCGAGCCTCTTCGTGTTTGCTGGCCCAGAAGAGTCCGGTCTCCACTCAGAGCCAAGGCGGCACCGAGATGCTGGAGAAGATTCTGGAGAACCCCAGGCTAGTGGTGGTGGAGGAGCCCAAGGACAGGGGCATGAGGTTCCGGTACCAGTGCGAAGGGCGCTCTGCCGGCAGCATCATGGGGGCGTCCAGCACTGACAACAACAAGACTCAGCCCACAATAGAGGTACGGCTTTGGTTTTTGTTTCAGGTCTGAGGGGAGTTTTCAGCATCCCGCCTACGGTTACACAGGTTTTAACCACAAGCTGTGTTTATTGTGTACCCCCGAACTGAAACGGGTGTCAAAAAGAAGGGTGGGGCTGGGAGGATGTGGGTTGAAGAGTCGATTAGAAAGTCCCCACAAATCCCAGCTCTGCTGTGACCACCCGGGGTTTATCCCTCTGCCTCTCTGCAAACACTCCATCATATGCTCATTTGAGTTTTACATTAACATAATTTATCATATAAGTGATATTTATTTATTTACTTTATGTTTAAAGTGCTATTCACTTTAGCACAGAGAGTTGAAGTGAAATAAAATTTATTAAACAATAAATCTGGACCGACACAGACTTCGAGGCTGCACCAATCTGTGTGTCGATCTCACCCACATTCCTCCCTCACTAAACTAAAAAAATACACTTTGAGCTGAAAACAAAACGATTCCAACAATTAAAGCAGCGTCTTTCTAAAATGAGAGATATTCAATTTCTACACATGTAATTTTCTGTCTTGCTTATTTTTTCAGATTCAGGGTCCCATTGACGGCCTGAAGAAGGCCACTGTCACTGTTTCCTTGGTAAGCAAAGATGTCCCACACCGGCCCCACCCCCACTGCCTTGTGGGTAAAGATTGCCCTGTTGATTCTGGGATCTGCGTGGTTTCCATTAACCCTCATGCTAACCGGAGTCACAGGTGATCAGCTGCTTAATCACTGTCAAATACGAACTGCATCTAATCTTTTTCATGTTATTTCTTCCAAACACACAGTTTGTGAAACAGAAAGGTGATTTTTGTTTGTTTTTTGGCTTGCAGCTTTGCCAACCTCGGCATTCAGTGCGTGAGGAGGAAAGAGCTCGACGTCTCGCTTCAGAAGAGGAGAAGCCAGAACATAGACCCGTTTCAAAGTGAGCCGAACACGACCACATGCCCAAAACACAGTTTTACCTTTGTGTGATGGATCGATCTGATGCCCTGTCTTGACACTCGTCTCCTCCTCTACCCCAGCTGGTTTCTCTAAGGGCATCGAAGACATCGACATGAACTCGGTGCGTCTGTGTTTCCAGTGCGAGCTCGAGTGGGAGGACGGCAGGAAGGACTCTCTGAGCCCGGTCATCTCCAAACCCATTTATGACAAGAGTAAGAGATTACAGAACCCTTCCTGGTGACTCACAGTCACCGTTAGAACCAAACCGCAAAGAGCCGGAAAACTGATATTCAACTTCCTGTTTCTCACACTTTGTCTTTTTTTTTTTAAGAGGCCACAACGACATCAGAGCTGAAGATCTACAACTTGAACACGTACCGAGGGACCTGCAGGGGCAAGACTGAGGTCTACATGCTCTGTGACAAAGTACAAAAAGGCAAGACTTTACTAAAGCTAGTATTTTTTTTATTAGTACATACAGTACAAATGGTTCTGATATCTTGAACTTCAGTTACCTAACAAACAATATCCAGCAGGTATGAAACAGGAAATATATATATTTTTTATTTTATTTTACTTTTTGGAGTTGGCACAAAGGACAGATTTACCAAAAGCAGACAGTCTTAATTTGAATAAAGTGTGTTTTGTGGGTTATTATTTAATTTATTAAATAATAAAATACACTCATATTGAAGTCATAGTATTTTACATGTTTTGCTGATTTGAAGGCTAGTAGAACTAATACCACTGTGTTTACTATTTTCTTAGTATGTTGGCATTAACTATGTTACAAAAATAGTTTTTCCTTCAGTGGGCCCGTTTTTCTTCATCCATTAATTAAAAAAACATTTTTTCTATTTTTTTTTTTTTGTTGTTAATAATTTGACACTAATGTGAACGTTTTGAGTACTCGTTTTTACTTTTCAGCTTAAACTGAGAAGAAATCTTGTTGCTTTTGTTGGAACCTGTTTGGATTCRCAGCTAGAATTTTAAATGTTCTATAAAACCACTTTCCTCTGTTCTCTGCACAATCCACAGATGACATCGAGATCCTGTTCAGGCTAGGGTCGTGGAAGGCGAACGGAGAGTTTGCCCAGACGGACGTGCACAGACAGGTAGCCATCGTGTTTAAAACTCCGCCCTACGAGGACCAGAGCGTCACGGAGGATGTTGAAGTCAACGTGGTCCTGAGGCGCATTTCAGACCAGATGGAGAGCGAGCCGGTCTCCTTCACGTACACGCCTGTTTGTCTGGGTCAGTGAGAAATGGACAGTTTTTCTGCGTTGGTCAAACTTTAATCGCAGGAAATTAATCCATGTGTGTCTGAAATTTTGTTTCATAGATCCATACGGGGTGAAGCGGAAAGGAACCAAAAAGAATAACATGCTCACCTCAGAGAAATCCTGTGGAACAGGTGAGATTTTGACTGTCACATGGATTTTTTTTATTTTTACCATCATGAGACTTTAATAATACCTTTTGTTACTAGAAACCTGAGCCGACCTCATGCAGTTCTAGTAATACTGGAACCATAGGGRGTATTAGACCCATTTTACTGGGTCATGCACCCAAGTATTAATCTGATTCTAGCATTTTAAAAACTAACATCTTCATAAACTTTTTTCTGTTTGAAGGTTTTGGGGATACAGGGGCTCATAAGAGAATAAATACAGGCTACTTACAGGGTTGTATTAAAGGTGGTTGCATGTACTTATCAGGGAAAGTACCGGGGAAATGTAGGTTACTTAGGAGGTACATAAAGTGTAATTATATGTTAGTTAATGATACATACAAAGTAATTTCAGGTTACTTACAGAGATAATTACAGGTTACTTAGGAGGATAAAGGGAAATTAGATGTTAGTTAATGATACATACAAAGTAATTACAGGTTACTTAGGTGGTACATACAAAATACAGGTTACTACAGAAATATATACATGGTAATTACAAGTTACTAAGCTTGTAGTTGCAGGGTATTTATTGGTTACTTACAAYGATACATACAACTGTAGTTACAGGTTACTTACAGAAATACATACATGTAATTACAAACTACTTAACTGGTACATACAGGGTAATTACAAGTTACTCAGGGTTACTTGCAAGGTACTACTGTAAATGCAGGTTACTTGGGGAGGTACATTCTGTGTATTTATAAGCTACTTAAATGCTATGTGTAGAGTAATTACAGGGTAGTTAGAGTACCTACAAAGTATTTTTGAGAATTGTGCAGTTTTGTATCATGAATTCTTACCCTGTGCTGTGCCTCARTATAGCTTTTCTACCACCTAACTATATCAGAATTCCTTCTTTTTTTTCTTTTTTTGTTGACTTGTCTGCCTACAATAAATAAAAAAATCCCCAGTTATTTYTGTTTGTTACATCGTTTCAGCAAATTCAGACAACCACATCCTCAATAATGAGGGAAAAATATATTTGTTGTTTTTTTGGAAAGTTGAGTTTTTAACACGAGACAGTAGCAACGTAATAAACTCCATATTCTTTATTGTATTTCTTTAATACATTAACAGACAAAAATAGACAACTGAGTACTAAAGTAAAACATTGTTGTACCTCATCACTTGCCAAACAAAAATCCAAAAAGAAGCGAATGAATTAAAAAAAGAATGAATTATTTCTTATTTTTCGATTATACCTGTGATACTTGACTAAACCGTCTTTTGTTACTCAGGCTTGTGGAGAAATTTGAAGAGCATATTAAAAGAAACAAAAGAGTCAGTGGCACAGTTGTCAAAGTTTTTTTTTTTTTTTTGTCATAACAAGTCATACCTGCTACGACAGATGTTTTAGGAGTGATTCATGTTTATTTATTCACATTTGTTTTGTGACTCGTGTGTACTTATTCGAATTAGGGCTGCCACGATTAATCGATTAATCGACGACTAATTTAATAATCGATTAATCGTTTTCTTTTTTTTTTTTGTTCTTTACTTTGTTTTTCTCTCCAAACTGCTTTGACACCTTCCACTGCCACATCTGCCTTTCTGTCCTTGACACACATGCACAGTAGTGGTAACTGGGGTAGGCCGTGGACGTCACAAGACATTATACAGACAGGCTCTGGTATCATGGCTACCYRRCAACAGAGCTCAAAAGTGTGGGAACTTTTTAAGAAAATGAAAGAGAAAACTGTGTAATATCTGCAGAGCAGAACTTACCTTCCACAGCAATTATTTTTAGTTAGCATATAGCTAAAATCTATCAATGGTTATATAATAGCAGCTGCATTCTGGCGTGATAAGCTCTATGTCAGGGGTGCCCAAACATTTTCCCAGAGGGGGCCAAAATGAAAATATATCCATGGCTGTGGGCCAAATGCAGTTATATAATAAATGAAATACAAATACTCTTTAAAAGTAAAGTCCTTTATTTTTGACCATTAAGCTGTGCAATGGCCCTCTTTTGTTTTAGTCTGTGCACTTGGAGAATGTCTGCCATACGTTCAAGTAGCAAAGGCTCATGGGACACATCATAAATTGATAAAATATGAGTTTTTGTGGTCTTATAAAGTGTGCAAATCTACATGTGTGGTTAAAGCTGAACAAAATATTTCTTGTCATTTCATGTTTCACGTTTAATCCTAAAAAATCAAAGATAAAGTCAGCACCATGAATGAAAACTACCTTCACTACCTTTTATACTATGTATACAGCCCTTTTATAGTCATTTGACCAATGGAAATACTGTGTATATACATAGGATAATTGGTTACAACCTTGTAACTTTGGCAACTGTTGGTGGGCCAAATCAAATGGCTTGGCGGGCCAAATTTGGCCCGCGGGCCCCACTTTGGGCTCCTCTGCTCTATGTTTTATATTCAATTAACATATGATCCGATTAGTCGACTAATCGAAAAAATAATCGGTGATTAATCTATTATAAAAATAATCGTTTGTGGCAGCCCTAATTCGAATATGTGACGGCATTAACGATCGATTTCCAAAATGCTCTTTAACACGTGAACATTTTAAACACAACCCCTCCCGTCCCTCATATGATGTATAGGTCACACGGCAGTGTGGCAGTTTTGTCGAAACTGCCCAAACAGACRGCAGGAATATACGCGAGATGTGAATGAAGAAGTAATAAACGGCCACACACTGTTCATGTGACACGTTATGTAAGAGTGACTTTTACTTCACATGGGCTTCTGACTGAAAAATGTATTATTTCAGTCTTTGCTTTGAGTTGAACGTAACTGGAAAATACGTTGAGCCCCACAGTTCAAATAAACTGCAAGCATCCCTGTAGTGTTCTRGAGCAAAACGGCCAGAATTTAAAGCATACAAAGTAAATGTTGGATCTTAACATTGCTGTCAAGCTTTTCATTAACTAATTATTCTGTATAGTAGAATAAAGTTCATGTCTCTTCTGGGTTTATTTTCTGACAGAATCTGATTATTCTTCTACAGAGACCACGCCTCCATTGCCCTCCTTTTTCCACCAGACTCCAAACGTCATGTCGTCAGGGGAGAACCAGTTGGAGAAATACCCCCAGGGTGTGTGCCTGGACGAGGTTATCATCAACCAGTTGTTAGAGTTGCCCGAACTCCTGAACGCTCTGTCCGACTCGAGCTTGCCCTGCACCCCAGGACTCGACACGAGCGCCATCTTTGACGATTTGGACATGAGCTTCAACCAGAACTTTAGCAATTTCCAACAGGACCTTGCCCACATTAACGACATCCAGTTCAACATGCTCGTCAACGAGAACCAGAACCCACAAGCGGAACGGCAGGACGGCGTGTTGCAGGTGAAAACGGAAGAAGAGCAATGAGGTCGTGGCAGTCGGGATTAAATACTGTTGGTTTGAGTTCAGATTGGGGTCAAATTTCCACGTGCAAAAGAAGCTAACRGGTACAGACCACGTCCCAAAAACTGAAGGAAACCAAACGGCTCTTTAGCTCCAGCTGCTCGCACTGTGTGAAGTGGTTTTAGATTACTTTAGTTTCCTCTGTGAATTACCTAAAGGCCTCGCTGGTCGAGGCTAAAACCAACCAGGAGCTGGTTTACCTACTTAAAATATTCATATAAATGCTGCAAGCATTAATTTTTTTTTAAGTCAGAGAAATGGGATTCAGTCAGCAGGGAACTAAAAGGAGAACTTGTGAACTTCTCTGTTGAACATGGGAACCAGTAAGAGTTCCATCAACTGCTGCTTGTAGTCTGTAGTAAATGCTTGATGATGGTTTAAGGTCTGTTTTGTGTGTTTGTGCTTGATTTTGGGGAAACAAAATGCCTTCCTGCTGGAAGGTGTCAGCAACATGAATTCATTTGTAATCATAAAAGTCTTTTATGTGGAGCTCATTGTTGTTTATTGCACTTGTTTTAATGATGCACTTAAGTATAATAGAAACCACCCCTCCTTCTATTCATGTCTGTTCTTTAGTTTTGCTTTTGGTTCAAAATAGCTTTCACTATTCATCACTTGTAGTGTGTCAAAGAAGAAATAAAGCTTAAATGTGACATTTGACGTTTTTTTCTGTGAAAGATAATGCAGATTTAGGAAATTCAGWAGGTGATTAATCTTATTTTTGAACATTTATCTGTGCTCTACAGAACAATTTGAATTTCCAGTTTGCCCTAACTTTGAAATATCCCTTTATTTCAGTGAACAGTGACCACAGCTGCCATAAGGATAATTACCCTCAGCTGTCCACCTGTGTGCTCGGTTATTGAGTGTGTTTAAAGAGCAGGTGTAGACCTGAGAGCTCCCGTCATCGTTGACTTGAACTGAATACATACCTGCCTCACAGGGGAAACTCCACACCTGGCTAATTTCCGAGACCTTTTTWTCTTCTTTTCACTTTACACACGATAAAGTTCATTTCCTGTAGAACAATACCGCCAACCAGACGGCTGCTAGAACATGTCCTAAAGTGTTCAGTCATCCCTTTATGCGACAGGCAGGATCTATTTTTTAATAGCTCTTAAAGTGATCATCTTTACAAACAGGTGGGGGACTTTGTCTTTACAAATTTTCTTTCACGTAATTAATGCCAAATTCTGAGTTACAAAGACAGGGCATAATGTTTAAAATTATTGCAAGAAATTTATTTTTTTTTTAATGGTAAGTTTATAGAAAAGAGAACGTACCACAAAGGTGACAGAACTGTTCCAGAACGTACCATGAAGCTTACCAAACATTGTTTGAAGGTTCACAGTGTGGCCCCTAAGGTGACACAAACTCTTGAGACCTTAAAAAAGTTTAGAGAACGTACCCCAAACCCTGTGTTGTCTAAAGGATCTGTTACAATTTAAGCAATTGTGGTTCCCGATGTGCCCACCCCCAGGGTGGGTGCCAGAGAGCACAATGGGGTCCCATAACTTTTTCTGCTCAGAGGTTGTGAAAATATTAATTTATTGTTTGTAAATAAAAAATAACCTTAACAAGTCAAAATAGTTCTTTTTCCCCTTTTACAAATAAAAGTTAATTATTATTCTTTGTTTTGGTAAATGTTTAATGCAGGGGTGGGCAATCCTGGTCCTGGAGGGCCGCAGCCCTGCATGTTTTACTTGCTTCTCTGCTCCAACACACCTGATATGAATGAATGGATGATTATCAGGCTTCTTGCAGTATGGAGGACCGAAACTGACATAATTAGAAATAAAAACAGAATTATATAAATGAACCACTAAATAAATATGTTTAAAATGTACCAATTAAAATAACAAAGGGGAACCTTTATCTCATGTTTTTGTTTGAAATGACTTGAATATTTATTTTTCCAGGTTAATATAAATTAGTCTATATATTTTAACACATAATTTAAATATTACTGTTTTTTTAACATACATATTTTATTGTTTTTCCTTTAAATTCTACATGCATTTGTGTCTCTTAAATATTTATACTTAATTATTTTTATATTTTTCCCACGAGTCTTTAAATTTTAGTTTAAAACAAAGGCAAGGAGAAAAACTTACCCGTGCCTTTGTTTTTAACTAAACTTTAAACTTTAAGCTAAACTGAGGCAGCACACGCCTGCAACACATCGAAATAAAAAAGACTTGTGGGACAAAACTATAAAAATATTTCAATTTAAACATTTAAGAGACAAATGCATGTACAAGTAAAAAGTAAAACTGAAAAATATATATTTTAAAAAACAGTCAAATTTGAAGTGTTTTAAAAATATCAATTAAATGAGAATTAAATTACAAAACATGAGGTGAAGTTCTTTTTTAATTGAACTGGTGCATTTTAAGTATTTATTTATTTAGTGGTTCATTTATATATTTCTGCTTTTATTTATAATTATGTCAGTTTTGGTCCTCCATACTGCAGAACTTGGAAGGTAAATCAGTGACTGAATCAGGTGTGTTGGAGCAGGGAAAACATAAAATATGTAGGGCTGCGGCCCTCGAGGACCAGGATTGCCCACCCCTGGTTTAATGCATCTTTGGTAAAGATGAGATGTTGGATTTATTATCTCCAGGGGCTGTGTCTGTAGGTTGTTTACTTTTGTTCTGAAGGACTGTGAAACCGGAAGTGGCTTTGCAGCCAACATTAACCGTCTTTACCGTCCACGAGACAATAAGCTTTTTTATCAAACGATCTCATAAAATATAAGTGACATTTTACGTAACACTGAGACGTTAATGTCAACATAATCAAGTACATTATTATATAAACAAGCTATGCGTGAAGTCTCGTTCCCGTGATCTCGCGAGTACACAACGTAAAATGTGACGTCACTCGTGAACGTACAAAAAAATCGTAGGCTACATTCCATTTTTTGCACTGGTACTTTTTTAAAGAGAATCTAAAGTAAATTTATTTTATTTWAAAATAAAAGACGGATTTTGATTTAATTTCTAATCCATGTAGGATCTTAAAAGCGGCATGCATCCCTGCAATGATATATGTCCTGTAAACACAGCATTTCCTCAAATTATGAATTCATTTGGGAAATCTACTTCAAAGACATAACATAATGCTGGTAACCCATGAATTTAAGTTCAAGTTGATTGACTTTGGATGCTTGCACACCAAGATCTTGGATCAATATAGACTAAAAACCTAATTACAGGGCAAAATGGTTATTCTGGTGGTCATTTTGAAAACTGTTTCATAAAATCCRAAAAGCAAGAGAGAGAAAAATGGAGTCAATGAAGTTACTTTAAAGTACCCTCTAATGATAATTTTAAAAAATTACCTAATACTACCTCAATTAAATTATTAAATTAAACCCAGTTACTTCTCAGTGTGGTTAATTTCCATCATCAGGCTGTAGGTGTATACCAAAACCCCGATTTTAACATGGTTTACCTGGAGAGTTTGGTTAACTTTTAGAGACTAAGAAAAACTGAGCTGAGAGGATGGATTATATGTGTTAAAAACAATAAAATATGTCAAATAAATCATAATCAGATCCAATCAGACAGCTTGGATGTGACGTGGGAGGAAAATTTCAGTGGGTATTTCTTTAATACAGTCGACATCCTGTCAGCTTTCCACCTGGTGCGGCCACGCCTCCTGTGTCAGGTAAACTCAGTTTACCAGACATTTATTTACTGAGAAGCACCAAGCATTCATGGAAATCAGAGATGATGATGATGATATTAAAAGGGAAAAATAAACACAGGAGCTGATGTAGGCTACAAATTAATGTTTGAAACAAATGTCTGTTTTAAAATAGAAAACAGAGGTGAAACATCATCTTGAAAAAAACTACCTTAAAAGATTTTTTTTCTCCATTTGCAAGGAGTAAAGATGAAGGACGCAGATGGTCTCGTGAAGAGCCAACCAAAAATAGGCAAAACTCAAATCTGACACAACGCACATCAGTTTCAGAGTTTGTTCACCTTCTTTAGGTGCGCGCTGTGACAGGGGTAATTCCACACTATATAAGGAGTAAAACCTGTTTACTGGTAATCTGTTGTCACGTTACAACACCCACGGGAGTCCCCATGAGGAGGAGGGACTCACCATTGAACCACAGGAGCTAGCTGCAACCACATAGCAAACACACACACACACACACGAAAGTGAAACCAGAAGATGTTGTTTTAGGTGATGGTTTTCACAAACCTCGTCATGTTTTCCACTCCTTAACTCAGAGACCTTACACAACCTTAGCACAGCTTACTTCGTTTGCAAAAAGTGGGATTTAATCACCACAGCTCATTTTAGATCTCTGTTCTCTTGAGTATTTTAAAGATTAAAACCTAACCTCAGAAACTGTGAAGCTTTGACTCGTTTAGATGTTTGCAGGCAGACTGGTGATGTTATTTAATTGAATGTGTGTAGACCAYAAATATCAAATGTTCTGGGTTTGACTTGATCAAAAAAAAATAATAATAATTTTCCCCCTCCACAAAAGGGGTTTCACTGATTTAAAGCATCTTAGCGTCCTCTAGTGACCAAACACATTTATAACATCTTAAAGCAAGATGTTTGTGAAAATCCATTTATTAGTTTTATGTTAATGTTAAAAAAGATAACGAAACAAAGCAGAGTTCACTTCTTTATGTATTTAATTCATCTTTAATGAATGTTTTAGTATATGTTCTGGAAAAAACTAAGTTTGATGCTGTTTACATTCATGAAAGCATTTACTAAAAACAACAATGCTGCCTTGAATAATCTGATTTTTTGGGTCCATTTATTCCTATAACACTAGCAGAAGACCACAATAAGTTTTGAGGCCAATGCAAGGTGTAGTTTGGAGTATAACTCCACATTTGAATATATTTTTTTGGGTTTAAATATGACAAATTTTGGAAATATACACGTAAAAGTTGTTTTCTCAGGCTTCTACTCATGTTATGGTTTTGTTTTAATTAAGCTGATCCTATTTTTGGTTCCAGCTGTATGTTTACAGTACAAACAAAAAGCATCAATTAGTCATAAAATCAATGTTTTCTGTAACTGTCTTTTTATTTTGTTACATTTTAAGCTTCACAATGAGTRATTGTTTATGTGAAACATAACAAATAAAAATGTCTCCGGCGTGAGTTTGTTGTAGTCCCACACCAGGTTTGAAATAAAAATAAAAACGGCAGGAATCCTCCCTCAGTCTGTCTTCTCTGATGAAACATCGTGACTAAAAGTCCCACCAGAACCTTCACAGTTCAGCCTCTGTCCGGTTCAGACGGGGTTCTGGTGGTCACTCCTAAGTCCACCACGTGTGGCTCTGAAAGTTTCTTCATTTGGAGGTCCTGCACAAGTTTCTCCGCATAGACCTTAAACAGAGGGTCTGGCTCCTGAGAGACGAGACCAAATAAAACTAATTCAATGATCTGCAGGCATCAAAGGGTTAATAAACAGAGGAAATTAACTGTTGTCTCAAGCTGCTGTTGTGTACAACATTGTCTCCCCTCCATGTTTTCACAGATGCAAACAGAAGGGATAGCTCACTCTAGTGATGCTTAACTCTATGTAAATAAATGAAATGCTTGACCGGAATTTTATGTTCAAAAAGCCACAGCAAGGTGTTCTTAGCAAACATGAAAAATGTCTRAAACTCTCTCAAGTTTACATCCTGAGCTTAAAATTAGAGTGGTAGTTGCTGATTCTAATCCCCAACACATATTCTGAGCGCTGTGCCACCAACTATTTGAAGTCAACTCTGTCTGTTAGCAAAATATCTCAAAGATTTAATCGAAACCTTCAGGAAATTATCACTGAATGAACATCAATCACTGCTTAAATTTTGGAGTCAAGTCAAGATGGCCGCCACAGCCAAGCAACTGAAAACACAAAATAGCTATAATTTAGTTGGTTTTACAGATACAGACCTCGTGATATAGTAGGAGAGTCTTGGTTGTCGCCATCATTTCTCAAAATAAGATTGTCTGAGTCTTAAACTAACTTGTTTTTGGAGCATCCAACATGACATGAATTATTATAGAAAACGAGAGAGGGCATTGCTTTACATTATTTAGATTTTTGAGTTCTCCTTAAGTTATGACCCAAGTGATAATCTTACCACCTGCATTTTGTATGGAACCAATCTATTTCATGTGCTTAGAATATTTTTGCAGCCCGTATAACTTTAAAACTTGCAAACTGTCACAACTGCAGCATGAAGTCTGGACTTTTACCTTGTATTCCAGCTGCCTCTGTTTCTCCACAGCCTCTACCAGCGACAGGCCCACCCACTCCGCCTCCTCTTCTGGGATCTCAAACTCCTGCTCAGTCAGAAAGAAGAGGGTTTCCTGATACACATCAACAGAACATTGGCTGTGCTGATCCTTGCTGAGCTCAAAACTAACCTTGTATTTGTTGTAGACGGCTTCTCTTTTGACGGGGTCGTCGGGGTAAAGCTGTGTGTCTTTGCGGGCCAGGCGCAGCAGCATGGCTCTCTTCAGGTCCATCCCCAGCTTGGAGTTCAGCTCTTCCTTGGGGGTCTAAAAGAAATGGAACATTAGAGTCTCGCAGAGGTACTGATCAGAGAAGTTTGAACGGATCCGGAGTACCTTCAGGATGTAATAGTCAAAGCCAAAGGCTGCATCAATCAGATCCAGCGTGCGCATCGTGACATCGATGGTGAACTTGTGGTCAATGATCTCGCTGTAGAATTCTCTCTTAAAATGCTGTACCTTCCAGATTTTCTTAGAACGTGGGCGCATCTGAATGAGAAACAGATCAGGTGTCAGTCATCTTTAGATAAATATCTGAAGAGAGTGACGTGCAAGTCCACGACTACAATAAGAAGCAGCTGCACCAACATGCAGACCGGCACTAAAACAGTCAGCAGTACCAGYGACACAGAAAGTTTAACTTTGACTCACTTTGTCATTTCTGGCGTATTTGTGGCCTAATATCCAGCCCTCTCCACTCCACAGACCATCCTGGGACTCTGGAGGGTAGTAAATCGGGATCGGGACATCCTGCACCCGCTCCTTCTCCCCAGTTTTTGGACTGATTCGATACTTGACTCCCAGGGGCTTCCAGTGGACAGGCGGGGGCTCTGTTTTTTCCAGGGATTTGAGGTAATGTTCGGGGAGACGTGCGTAGATGCCCTGCTTCATTTTCAGGGCATCCCAAATTCTGGGAGGATATTTATGAAGAGGCATGATTTTTCTTTTGATGGAGAAATCTGAAAGAGAGGGAAAAATATATTTAAAACAAGCACTTTTGTCCCTAAGGTCAAAAACAAAACAGGGAAAGTATGTGTGTGTGTGTGTCAATTCCTGCAAGTTATTATTATATTTAATAAATTACTTACTTCTTGAAATAGCTGTATAATTTATTGTTTGTCATGTGCAGCGTCTTTTAATTCATTATGCATGCTCTGCTGCAGAATTAGTTAACAGAAACACATTATAAAGAATTTAACCCGCTTATGTGGAAGTTCCCTTTTGGCGGAGAAAAACGAGCTGAAAACTTGTTAACATTAAGACTCCGTGAGTCACGTTTATTATTAGAAAAACAACTAACTAAAATGGCGCTGCGCATGAGCAGACAAAACCCCGCCTCAGAAACGTCACCGGAACTCTTAAAGAGACAGCAACAATTACCTGGAGCCTAACATTAAAGATGATGAACCGTGCAACACACAAATAACAGACAGTCAATTATGCAGTCAGTATTGCAGTATTGAGAGCACTACACTTATACATTATAATTTCATGAAATTAATATTTTTACTTAATAGTAGCTGAAATATAGCTAGTTTTTATTTATACAAATTTGCGGTAACACTTTAGTCGCAAAGCAGCGTCAGGACTGAGTCAGGTTATTGGCTGAAATGAAGCCTTAACGAGTAACTGGAAACATTATTTTTGAGAATACTCACCAAAATTTTAGAAAACCAAAATCTCTATTAAACACATATGGTTGGTATAACCAATTTGTCCCCAAGTCTTCGAAGGACGCCGTGCAGCTGCCTGTCTAAAATCGCCCAACTTCCGTGTGGAGCCTGATTGGACAACAAGAAGGAAATTCTGACAGTTGATTGGCTCTTTTTCTTCTTCTTCTTTATTTTATTTTGGAACCAAAGAATAGTTTACTACCATCTAGTGTCTAAAGGCTGTCACAGCTGTTTTCGTTGACGCTCATGTTTTAGGAAAGTTTACCACTTTCTTCGCTTCTTTACCGGTTTTTACAAAGATTAGCGATGTTTCAGGAAAACAAATAAATAATCATCCGGTTTTCATAACTCGAAACGTTAGCAGCACATGACAAAACCATAACAACATACAATTTTAAGTTTGGCATCTTTGGGCACAAAAACACATCAAACTGTAAAATACAAAACATTAATTCAAAACGCAAAATACTACTTTAGCACAAAAATGTGTCTGGATATTTTTTTAAGCGTGATTAGATAGATGTTGCCTTTGCAATAACAGTTGCCAAAGTTTGCTAATTTTCCATGTTTTGAATAGWTCTTTGTTTCCGTTGTGTACATGTATCATGTATAATGGAAAAAATGCCACAGCACAAATTGTATTTGACTGTCACTGGGCAAAATCGGTTCTTTGTGAGACTTTTATTTTGAAGTGCCCTCCAAAAAAACGTCGCACAGGAAGTAAAATGAACGGATGCAAAACCAAAACAAGAAAACTAATTTTTAACTACGTTGGAGACAGCATTTATGTCATTCTGATATATGTTTCGCCCGAAAGGTGGAATTGAACCACTCTGCCGCTAAGCAGCTACGGGTTTGAAGCCCGCACCCCGGACCACCGAGGCTCATCCGGGCACTTGCATATATTTCCTGAGCCGCATTTATACAACATGAAATCCCTTACCAATTTCAAAGACGGTTGTACTTTTTCTTGCTATTTTTTATTATGTACATTTTAGCAGAGGTGAACTTTTTTAACAATTTGCTATATGTTATATGCCGCGTTTCTGTTAAATACACGCAAAGAAAGGAGATATATGTTCAGGTCGACTCAGCCAGGTGACAAACAGAGGGGATTTGATTGGCTGCCTGCATGCAAAACAAGGAGGAGACCTGTTTTGTCATCACARGTAAAAACGTTTCAAGATATAAGTCAAAACAAGAAAAAATAAACCACAGACACCCATTCACTGCTATAYTTAGATAAGTATGTCTACATTTATAGCTGCTGTTTTGTTTTTTACTCACAGGAATACAATGAAAACTGTCACTGTGATCTGATTTGTTCTTAAATCCAATCAAACCTCATTAAAACTTCCTGCTTTTTGAAGCTATAACTTTCTGCTTTTTGCAATCAGTCGTGGTGATAAAGCTTAAAATCTGCCAACATGTTACCGACCAGGCTTGTGTTCAGTATTTAGTTAAGTTTTTACTCAATTTCCATACAAAACCTGTACCAATGTGTGTTACAACTTTCATATATTCAAAAGAAACAGAGTCAAAACATAGTGATAAGCACGCATACCTTAAACATATGACCATGCAAAATAAACTTTAAAATAAAATATGATATCAGACAAAAATGCAACATTATTTGACACATAAATTACTCTTGTCTCAAGCAACAACCTATTTAAATGTTAATATTATTTTGTATGCAACCAATGCTAAGATAAAAGTTAAATAGCTGCATGAATAACTATGAAAAATATATTTACGTTATAATATTTGAAGAATTAGATCAACTTCTCATAGTTATTTTAGTCAAACCTTGAAAAAAATAACTTTATGTGAAGTCTCATGCAGAAAGCAGACAAACAGAATTAACTTTGTGATCTAATGCTAAAAATTTAAGCAAAGATCTTAGTAGCGCTTGGAGGATGTGCTGTGGATGACTCTCAGCTACTACTGCACCACATTTTAGCTCAGTATCTGTATGACTGACCGAGTTATAGCTATTTTTGAGTTTTTGTAATTCAGTGTTCTGTGGCGGCCATCTTGGSTTGGATGAATTAGATGAGATGGCTCCAAAAGTTAATCAGTTATAGATGTAGAATACGTCATTCTTTCCTGAACATTTCGTTAAAACACCTCCTAGCGTTTACGAGGTATTTTGCTAACGGACGGACAGACCTAACTTCAAAGAGTAATGGCAAAAGTTATAAATTCTTGTGTGTGCTCAACAGATCGGTCTCAGCTACTATCACACCAAATYTCAGCTCAATATATGTCAAACTGACTGAGTTCTAACCATTTTTGTATTTTTAGGTCAATTGGCTGTGGCGGCCATCTTGAATTTGGATGATTCTAAAACTTAGTTGTAGCTGCACCTTTAAGGATTTCATTCTGCAAGTTTGATTAAAATGACTTTATCAGTTCATAAGATATTTTGCTAACAGGCAGACATAAACATAAATGCCTGCCTTCATGCAGAGTGATAGTAGAAATGAATAAATCTATTCGGTATGTCTATAAATCATGTATTAGTCAATAAAGACACGGAGTGCTCGAATGAAAAGCACTATTTTATTCATGTTTGAGGATAAAGAGGTTTACAAAAGATGTAACCGGAGTCTGTTAACTAGAATGACCATTTTGTTTTTCGCCTTCAAACAAACTTTGGTCAAAACCGATATTTAGAGGAACCAGAGWGTCCCCGGCCGGTGGTCTCAGGTGTGTCCAGGCCTTGTCCTCCAACAGAGAGCAGCACATGCTGGCAGCGCAGGACGCCCCACAGGAGAGGCTGCAGACCGGGAGTGGAGGGGAGGAGGAGGGAAACTCTGGCTGAACGGTGCAGCAGCTCACCCCCACATCCTGCAGCACTGCAGTGACCCCTGACATCAGATCAGCACACCTGGACAGACCAGACATCGTTAAATATGAGTAAAATATTACAAGCTGTTATCTAATGAATGATTTTTTAAAAAAGAGCTTCATTTCTAAAACATAAAACTATTTTTATGGTTTCCTGTTCAGCCGGAAAGCATTTACTGTACACTAAATAAAAATAAATAATAAAAAAAACATTCAAACTCAAAGAAAACTAAAAGTTTGCCTGAAAACACAAAACCCTTTTAAAACGTTGACTATAAACGCAGTCAAACTTTAACTCTTAAACCTAAAAGTGTATTGAAAATGTTACATGATTACAATTTTTTTAATTAAAAATGCTGCTTTAATATTAAATACTGTATTTGTGAGTTATAAAAGTATGCTGAACTTTTGGCTTTAGGGGAAAAATGAAAGAAAAATGTCATCCAACTCAAGTGGTGTTAATACATTTGTTGTGGTCAGTTTTGCGCTCTGGAACACATCACATGTGGCCAAAATCAAAAAATTTTGGGGTTGGCAAAAGCTTCAGCGATGCCTTAATGTCTTAAATTAAGCTGATTTAAAGTGCCTGTGACATCAAATTTTTGTAGTGAACATGAATGATTTTTTTTGAAAAAGGACCTTGATAACATGTTACAAAACAAATTTCACATTGCTGAAATGAACAGCTGTTGAGATATTTACATGTGAAGTAACAGGAAGTGATGTCAAAGGGGGAATGTTTGCATGTGAACAGAGTGTTGCTATAACTACCAACAGACTGTAGACAAGAATCTGATGTTTATTTAGATTATTTTGAGTCCCTATCAGAGAGATGAAAAAGAGAATAGACCAGTTATTTAACAAAATGGGTAAAATCATAGTATTATGTCAAGTTTCTTAAATATAAATGTTTTCTTTGACTTTTTGTGTTTGAAGGATAGACATGTCTCAGGCACTTTAACGCCGGCTTTAACCAAAAACTTCATCTCCCATAATGAATATTGATTATTTTACCTGCAAAATAACAGGCTCCCACCACTAGGTGGAACTGCACAGGGTCAAATAGCTAGACCAGGGCTATTCAACTGGCGGCCCGCGGGCCACATCCGGCCCGCGAGTGACCAAAGTTCGGCCCGCCAATTGGTTCATTCATCTCTTAAGCACAAACACCCGGCTTTCTACTTTAATTACTCTAAGTTCTTTTAGTTAAACACAGACATGTTTGGTATCAACAGAAACGTCATAATCGTGGCTAGAAGCTGGTAAAACAATTTCTATAAACACTCAACACAGTTACAACTACAATCAGTTGAAGATAAAATGATGAAAGTGAAAAAAAAATTGGGTTAAAATTTGGCAAGTCAGAGATGTCAAAAATATTATTTGTGTTAAATATGAGGCATAATGTGTTCTTTTTGTTTTTGATAATGTTTAATTATCACTACTTTTATAGGGTTCAGTATGTTGTATTCATGATTAAATGCAGCAAAATAAACTAATTCAAAGGTAACAGATCTTTGTAAAACTTGGTTTATTTACATAATAACTTTCATTGCTGGATGTCCAGCCCCTCAGCTGTTGACCGGCAGTAACTGTGGCCCCCGGAGCAGTTTGGTTGAATAGTCCTGGGCTAGACCATTTTGTAGCTACAAGTACTAATAGAGTCGAACTCTTCTGGGTCATGTATTTTTATTTTTTATTTTCTTATCAGATATTTTTTAATATTTTGAGGAGGAAAAACAACAAAAAATATTTTAAATCAGCCTTCAGGCTCATCAGATGTTTGTGTTGAAGAACCAAATCAAATCTGCCATGAAGCAACTCCCATAACCTCACCTGTGGGCTGGAAAGCTGGGGCAACAGTGCACGTGTACAGAGGCCACCATCACAGATTGGGTTAGCTGCCAAATGTGGAGGTCGTGCACCTCCTGCACGCTGGGCACCCTGGCGATCCTCCCTYTGAGATCAGACAGGTTTATGTGAGGCGGTGAGGCCTGCAGCAGCAGCAGGCCGTACCTGTACACCTGTAGGGGGAGGGGTTGTTAAATACCTTCAGGTAAGAGATTCAGTGACTAAAAAAGTATTAGAGTGGAAGTTCATGACCTGCGGTGCGGTCGTGGTGATCAGTGTGATGACAGCCAGCAGGGAGAAGCCAGGATCCAGGTAAACCAGGACCCTGTGGACCCCTGAGGTGTGCAGAAGCTGAGGGACAACGAACAGCATCAGCAGGCTGCTGGTCAGAGCCAGGAGAGACGTGAAGAGTCCCTGGATGAGAAAAACAGAGGGCAGGAGGCAGACTGAGGAGGAGGAGACGTTTGACGCATCTGAAAATGGAGGAAAACACAAAATRCAGGCGTTTGAAAACATTTATTCTTGCTGCAACGTGCTGTGTTTTTACGATAATGACCTTTGTCACCTGGTTGTCCCTGGCTTTGTTTGTGTTCAGAGCCACTCTCAGAGCTGAGATCTGCAGCACGGCTCTGAACGTTTTGTTGTTTCTGCTGGTTTTCAGTTCTGGCTGTGCTGGAAGCTCCTGGATTACAGAAGACAAGCGCCCCGCCGCTGAGAGCCTGGTGTGCAGCAGACCGAGCCTTCGACTGGACGATGTGTTTTTCTTCCACCTGGCCTTGAGACTCCTCTCCAAACCAAACTGTGAGAACTGAACAGAGAAGAGAAAAATAAGAGCAGGCTCATCRTGATCACATGCTTCTTTGATCTAACTGAGTATTTGTAAAAGTGACACATTTAAAGTCATTTTTGTGTTTTATTGTCAGTTTTGTTTTGTTTCTCAGTTTTTACCATCGTTTTKGATCTGGTTGCAGCTCTTCGTCCTTCCATCCTTCAGCTGATCCCAGTTCAGCACAAACAGCAGAGTCTTCCAGAGCAGACCGACGGCTCCCACCACCACCGGCAGCAGGGGCAGCTGCACCGGGTGGGGCTCCAGCATGTGGCCCACGATTTCCAAGAAGTACGAGAAGCACAGCGAAACCAGGAGGAGCGCAGAAATGAAAACACCCACGGCCGGGATCCTGCTGCTGGGGAAGGGCCGAGCACAGCTTGGAGCTGCAGCAGAGGAGGGCCTGTGTGAGAACTGATCCAGAGACGACGCCTCTGAGGGCGGAGGTGAGGCTGGATCATGGCGCGGTGGAGGAGGAGGTGCTCCTGAAGGAGGAACAGGTTTGATGATGTTCGCGGTCCGAGGGTGAAGGAGGGTCATGTGAATGATGATGATGATTGTGTGGAAACCATCTATCATGGTGATGAGGGACGTACACAGCTGACTGACGATGATCTCCCCCAGCAGCAGCAGGGCGGTCACCCCCAGCGTGCACCAGTGCACCCTCATACTCAACAACTGYAAACACTGTAAGGTAAATAAGAAGAAATTTAGATTTTAAATACACAGCTGTGTTGAAGGTAAATAAAAAACAGAATGCAACAACAAACACAACAAACTTAACAGAAAAAGTAAAGTAAAGTTTTATTTATACAGCGCCTTTCACAAAAATAAGTTCACAAGGTGCTGTACATTCAGGGAAGGGGGGGACAGTTCAGAAACACCCATTCAAGAAGACATACAAGGCAAACATGGGGGAACAGGTGAAACAGGTCACGCAGCAAACACAGTTGTGCTACCTTTAACAACAGAAMAACTAAAAACCACACAAGGGAAGATGAGGAAAACAAAACAAAACATCGTATTATATCAACAATGTGACGCACTGTGGTGTTTATAAAAAAAGAAGTGAGGAAATATGTGTTTAGTAGATTCTTTCTTTGTTGTAACAATTATTCTTGGCATTACATTTAGCCAAAGCCTGAATGGTGCCACATTTGTAAGGAACATGCATTTGTGAGGTGAGCAGTAGAGCTACGTATATGTGGGTTGCACACATGAAAAATTTGCGAAATCTTCCCTGCCAAACAGCTTATTTTGCTGTTATATTGACATTTGTTCTGATGTTCAGGTATTCTCCCAGGTGCTGCCAGTCAGGTGATGGATATAATTTATTATTTTTTATTGCCAAGAAGCATTGCCATTACAAAGAAATCATCCAACAAACACTAATTTCCATATGTTCTCAGCTTAGTTTATTTATTTATTTACACTCCAAACATCRCAGGTTTGAATGGAAAAGTCACAAAAGGAAAATTAGAACTGAAATCATTTTTATGGGATTAATTTATTACAATATTGCTTCTGTTACTTCTGAGACGACAGAGCATCGGTTCACACAGTTATCAGTGATTAAAACCTAAATAAAGAACACGGCAGTGATGTTTACGTTCACTTTCCAAATTTCTGTCGTCTCTGACAGAAATCTGCCTGGATTTCCCTGAGCTGACGTCCAAAGTTCTCTTGGCTTTAATCCACTCTGTTCTGAAGCCCTTTCTGCTGCCACAGTCAAATGTTAATTTGGGCACAGTCACTTATATTAATAAAGAAAGTGAAACAGAATTCATAAGGCTTCATTTTTTGCTCGACAATCTACCATTCGGACAAGTTTTGGATATAAATTCACTCAGTAATTTGAGTAATTTCAATGTAAGCTGCCATCAAACAAAAGGAATCAGAAAAAAATTCAACCACTTAAAGAAATTAATAATAAAAATTAATATTTAATTGCTTTTTCTTCAATTTTACCTTCAAAATAAGTCTTTGTGTTTGTCTTTTGAGTTGCACATGAAAATATTTTAGTTTAATCCTTTTTTTCCTTTTCAGTTTGATAAAAATATTTTTCAGACTGTTTTAATTCTGCCACATTAGTTTGATTATTTAAAATCGTAAAGATAAAGAAGTGAAGTTGCACAGAAAAGGAGAGTGACTTACMCTAACGATGGCCCACAGCCAACAGTCGGAGGAAAGCTGGACTCCAGGATGCTGTGAAACCAAAAGTGTGATTCATGGTGCGTCTCCTGGCTCCCACTCTGCTCCACCGTCCTCCTCCTCTCCTCTAATCACAGTCATGTGAGCAGGAGGGGAGGTGGGTGCTGCTGTCGTCCCTGTTTACACCCCCCCCCCCYCCTGAGACACACACAGCCCACCCTCTCTTCTGAGCAGGTCAAACACGTCTGTTTGATCAAGTTAAATCCCCGCAGTGTGTCGTCAGGATTATATCCTRTCACCAGATCAGAAACTTGAATTCAGCAGAACTAAACTTACAAATGGACATAATTTCAGTCACTCTGCAGAACAACATAGATCAACTAGATGGACACCCTTTGTCAAAACTATTGACAGGTGGGCCCGCCCCTTTTTGATATAAAATATATAAATATCTATAGCAGTGGTTCCCAAACTTTTTATCTTCTGACCCACAAAATATCCATGGCTTAAACTTGTGACCCCAAATATTACTGGTCTGAATAACTTTGTCAATAACCCTAAAAACACAGGCTTTTTGACAATCTGAACAGCTTGTACACAAATATAAATACTTATTTTGTGTTTTTGTAATAATTATAGAAAAAATATTACATCAGCAATTATTTTATTACCCTTTAAATTGGTTTCTGGAGATTATCCAAGGTGCTTCATGACCCATAATTGGGTTCCAAGCCCAACTTTGGGAACCAAAGTGCAGTGGTTCCCAAACTTTTCAGCTTTTGCCCACAAAATAACAGTAGCAGAGACCTGAGCCCCCAGCTATTTTTGGATGATAAACATTTGTATCAGGTCAACTAAACATGGGCATAGTAACAATATTTTTCATACTACATTTATCCATTTTAAAAATACTAACCTCACTCCAACTAAGGCAAAAATGTAACTAATTCAGAAAATCTTTTCAGGACCCCACCTTGATATTTYGGGACCCCACTTTGGGTCCCAACCCCAACTTTGGGAAACACTGATCTATAGGACGTCCAGACAGGAAGTGAGGTGACTGAACAGAATGTTGCAACCAGAAGTCTCGACTTGAGCAGATATCTGGACATTTCAAGCATGGGCACAATTTGCGAAAAGTGGGGTTATGACCCCCACACCAATTTGATCCAGTCAACATAATTCCCCCAATAAAATGACATTATTTGCTCTAACTCAATAGAAATTCACTGGTTAAGTACAGCTACATAGCACTAGGTAAATATATAGTATATATATATATATATATATATATATATCGCTGCTCCTCTGCATCAAAAAGAGTCATGAGGTGGTTCACAGATTCACTGGACTCTTCCTACAGCGAGGAGACCTGAAGAAGACCTCAGTTAAATCTTCTCTGGCCTTGGAGAACATTGTGGGGTCACCCTGGAGGAGCTGGAACACATTTATGTTTTGGTCTCCTGCTTCAAGTGTTGTCATTTGGTTTGGTTACTGTTCTGGACCTGTTGCGTTTTTGACCTGACAAAAAAAAAAAGATGGGTGGGTGTGTCAAATTTTTTAAATTTGCATACGGCATCAGAAGTGTCTGTCATTTGTAACATTTTTGTTTACAGGGATGTTTTCCCTACAAGACATCACAAAAAGCGTYATTTTTTCTTTCCAATACCAGGTTTTATTTTATATTTTCAGATGATGGGACTTCGTTCTTAAGTTTATTAATGATTTCTTCTGTATAATCATATTTTACTGAAGCAGAGGTCTCTGGAAAGCAGCCACTGTTAAGGCCTTTCTGTGTATTTTATAATGACATTTATACAAACTAAATAAACTGAATTAAAACATGTGGATGTGTAAATTTCATGCATTATTCTTGTACTCAAGCTATAGAAGTGAAAGCTGTTATACAAAACTATTTGTCTTTATTTCTTGGTTGGAACTTTTTTTAACGGAGGTGCAAAGTACCCTTTCAAAACCAGAGTAAMGTGCAGTCTACAGCCAGTAAATACTAAAATACACACGCAAAAAAAAAATGCTCCTGATCCTGTATGAACTCCTTTTTAAAAACTGTCACTAACATTTTCTTGGGCTTGAACAAAATAAATAAAAATTTCACTTAAACTYTTCAATCTCTCAGCTTGGACTGAAACGTCTTTAAGGATTTCTCTGGTCTCATGATGAGTCACAAAACAGACGATGAGAAGTTTGACCTCAAGCTAAAGTACAASACACATTACTATAAAAACAACATGTAAAGCGAGGACATTTTTAAAGAAAAAAAATCCTTTGAAAGCAGCTTAAACCATGAAACCAAAGATAATTAAAGGAATATTTTCACTCAAAAAATATACAGTATATATCTCATTTTTCTAGTGTCTGACCTCAGAAAATTAGAGCTCCACCTGACCACTCAGTATCAGTATATTTATAGGTCAGGAAATGATCTGGCTTTTAAAAATCACTTTAATCTCTGAGTTATTAATCTGATACTTTCTCACAATCTGTCCTGTGTATTATCAGGGCAGTGTGGATTAGTTCACTGAGGAATTTCCACTCCCCCTTCTCCTCCCTCACCCCAGGAGAGCCTCCTCGCTCCACTCGTGATGCTGAGGGAGTTCTCAGAAGTGCACAGTTTCATCTTTTCCAAGAGTCCGTCTGTGTTTCCTCCATATGTTGACAACGAGCCACAGGCCTGGACAGAAGTTCAGCCAGAGTTTAATTTTTTTTTTTGTTGTTGCTTTATTTCCTGCAACCAAAAAGGGTTTTCCCAAATTCTAAAATTAAAAAGTCTTGAAAGTTTTTTTTTTTTAAAGAGATGTGTGCATCTTAAACTGATAGTTCAGATCTCCTGCAGAAATGTTACAATTAATAATTTACTGACTTCAGTTTGGTAACATCTCATCTGAGCTAGGTCTACACTGAAGATTAACCCTGTTTTAATGCAGCAGAAATCCATTTTGTTCTTAAACCCTGGACTCATGTGAGCTCATTAATCCAACTATCAAGTCTCCAGAGATCATTTTCAATTCTGCAAGTTGTTGTCCTTAAAAAGTAATCTACAGTAGGCAAAGAACCTATTTAATAATGATTTAATATCAACAATGATGCCACATAATTCTGTGGCATTCTGAAAAAAAAAACCATCCCGAGTTTGTTTTACTTTGTAGCTCATGTCTTCTTGAGTACCTCAAGGATGGATGCAAAATTTTTATCATACCTAACGTTTTAATGACTCGTATTTTTGCTGCAAAGATACAAGATGTGGTTAAATGTATGAAACTGACAGTAATGAGATATTTGGTTTATAATGAGATTTAATTACTGACAAAATCTTTTTACTGAGTCATTATGAATGTTTGGTGTTCAGATGAGTTTTTATTGTCTAACTTGAGGGATTGAGTGGAAAACTTATAGTTTTCTTGTCCTTTGTGTAGAAAAATTCAAGTTTTAACAAGTTTCAATTTTTTTTTGTCTCTCCAGGAACTTTGACTAAGGTTTTTCTGAAGCTGTWTCGATTTTTATTTACATCCTTTATCATCTCTCTGAACTGGACACACTCATCCTGGCCTGACGCAGCGACTTCTCTGGAAGACATTTTATTTTCCCTTCATTCATCTGTTCTTCTTTTATTATTGTTGAATTTTTGGTGGAGAAACAGAGAAACTCTAAATTGCTGCTGATGTCAGCAGTCTTTTAAACACAAGTCAAGCTAAGAACTCAGGAGTCACTTTGGGTACAGATTTAAATTTTAAAAGCCACATTAAATCATTATTATGGTTTTATTATCTTAAAATTATTTTAAGAATCAGTGACTTCGTTTCAAAACCTGGTCTTGAAACCCTCTTGCAGTACTTAACAGATCAACTTATACAATTTAAGCAGGATTATTAGTGGTGAAGCTGCTGTTAGTTAGGTTTAAATATTGTCTCTTTATTCTGTAAAGCATCTYGAGTTGCCTTCATGTATGAAATGTTATTCAAAGAAGTTTGCCTTGCCTGTTCTTCAACCCTGATCAGTTTAGTATAGAAATAAATCCCCACAGCATGAAGCTGCCACCGCCGTGTGAGCTGATGCTGATCCAGATGTGTCAAAACCAAACAGCCAGATGTCCAAAAATAATTATTCTATGCTGACAGAACCACACCCTTTTAAAAGCTTTTGATAATAAAGCTAATTTATTCCTGAACAAGTTGTTTTTATTTTAATGTAACATTCTCAGAACAAAGTCCAAATAAAACCTCCACATTTTGAAGTCAAAGCGAGGAAAGTCATTCACCGGAGTCGTGCCTTTTATCATTACATGCATTTATTTGAGAGAAACAAATTTCGCCATACACATCTTTGTGATTACCAGCACATTTCAATTAAGTTAACAAATCATTATTAAAAATGTCTAAAAATTAAAGCATTACAAACAGAGGCGGGGGATGAACTACTGATTTGGGTGGAGAAGAGAAGAGCGGTGGTGGTGGTGGTGGGGTAAATGCTGCTTTATTTGTAAAAATTAAGGCAGGGGGTGGGGGCAGATCTCCTCACAGACATGTATGTTGATATTAAAGATTCACTTTTATTGTCTTGCTCTGGAAAACGGACTAATCTCCTTCAGGTTTGACGACCCACAAACAAAATATGGTCACCGGCGCCCCCTTGTGGACACCGCTTCACCCGGAAAACAGCAACAAGCGACATGTTTGCAGCTTCCTTTAACTGCATCCCAGTAGTAAAGCATTCCAATAAACCTACCCCCCCCCCAACTCAAAAGTAAAAAAGAAGAAGAAGAAGAAAAAAAAGGAAACTAACCCTAATTTAATTTATCTCTTTAATCAGAACAGGAAATCTACAAGAGAGGAGAGGTCGGCTTTAAAAGCAACTCAGGACAAAAATAATGGATAAAATGCGGCGGTGGAAAGGAGAACATGACAACAAAAACTCCAAAAAGATGTGGAATAAAAAAAAAAAAAACCAGCAGCGGAATGACGAGCAATAGAGAGACGGCAACACAAATGAGTGGAAGACTGAGGAAATGGAGGGAGGACGATAAATCAAAAGCTGTGATGAAGTGCCATGCTTTCTGAAATTTATTTCATCTTTATTTTTCTAGCCGAGGGGACAAATTATAGATCTGAGCTTTTAAACAGTAGTTCAGTTTTAACGGGGGTGGTGGTGGTGGGGGATCGGGGCTGGGCTCCAGCGTGTTCAGATGGCACCGGTAAGGAGGAGACGGCTGATTTCTGAGGAGCCAAACTGCGCTGAGGACAAGAAAAACAAACAGGAAGTGAGTCACTTTGGCAGAGGTCCCTTACAGCTTCATGTGGTGGGGGCAGAGGAGTGGATAATGAATCCACACACGATTACATTTAGACAGATGGATTAACATCCTATAAAAGCCTTTAACAGCGACCTCCTACAGTCTCAAGTGTTTAAAGCCAGCAGGTCTTTTCAGTGGGAATCAAGGGGGAGTTTGGGGGTCCATCGCTGATGATTTGTCCTCTGAGTGAACCTCGTGTTCCTCATCACCGTGTTGCATCTCTGTGAAGTTATGAAAAACTGACTGCAAGTAGTTTGTCCAACAGCTGACAGGGAACTAAGAAAAACATCTTTGGTTAGTGTTTTATCCTCCGTCTTTTTGTCTCTCAAACGGACAAAATGTAGAGACGACATGGAGGGGTAGGGGGGCGGGGCTTGTCCTCCCCGTCTCTTACGTGGATGGTGTAGTGTGGATGACTCCTTATTTGCCACGGCCAAGCTCCAGAGGATGATTTTTGTCCTTTTTATTGTCATGTCTGGAGCTTTGACTCATTGGTTCTTTAAGGAAACGTGAAGTTTGTGGTCGAGTTGAAACAAAAACAAACAAACAAACAAAAAGACAAACATTGTAGGGGCGACCGGTCGTGTTGCAGAGGCTGACAAACCACCTTAGCGCTGTTTCTACTCGTCCTCACAGACCCTGAGGAGGAATGAGAACAGAGATAAATCAGTGCAGAGCAGATTTTAACTGAAAATAAATATAAACAAGTTATAAACAATATAATCTGTTTTTATTTCCTGCTTTGTCTAAACCAGAGATACGGTTTGTAAAAACGTTTTAGGCTGTAATGCAATGAAACTTTTTTTTTTACCCCTACCAGAGAGACATCTCATTGATTGTTCCAGTTGAATAAAAGTTTTAAACCCTCTAAGTTGTTTTATGTTTTGCTTTAAAAGGAGACTGGAATGAAAAACAGGTCTTTCTGCTCAGTTCCTGTACCTGACTTCAACAACATCATGTGCTGTTTGTTTAAAGGTGAGGAAAGTGGACGAAAAATTTAAGACCCAGGTTTAAAACAAAAACTATTCAAAGCAAAAAGTATTTTAAAGTCATGTCTTTAAAAAACTGGAAAACCATCCAGCATCAGACCTGAGACGTTTCATCTTTCAGTGGATCCACTGCTCTGTTTCTGTGAATCACCTTGTTGGTGCTAAAACTAAGTGAAAAAGCAGTTCAAAGTTCAAAGAAAAACTGTGAAAGATATCAAAGTGTGAAGAACTGTTAAATGAAATGATTGAAGAAATCAAAAAGTAAAACTTTCTGTTCAGGTTTGTTGTGTACACATACAGATGTTTGCTTCAGCAGCTCAGGGTGCGTCTCTCCCAGTGTCCATACTGGCCTCCAGGAGCAGCTCCTCCAGCTCCTGTCCACAGTTGGCACTCACTACATGAACGACACAACACGTGTTAACAGACAGACTTGTCATGTTGTCTAAATCAGAGCCCGCAGACTCACCGTGCTCCATCACGCAGCTGCCGGGCTTTGGGCTGTCGTTGTCGAGAAGGTGGAGGGAGAACTCTGGTTTCAGACCGTTGGGCAGAGCTGAAGCGACCACCTCGCCCTCCAGAGCGTCATCGAAACACTCGTCTGTGGAGCTCTCGTCAGCAGAGTCTGGATTCCCTTCAGGCTCCTGCTGATCGGTCTGCTCTGAGGGAACGGCTTCTGTTTCCCATCGCTGCTTTGGACTTTCCTGCTCTTGGTTTGGCTCCTCATTCTGAGTAGAACTGGGTTTTTCTGTTTCTGTTCCACTGCTGGGTAGCTCCTGCTGAGAGAGCACCGACCACGTCTGCTTTGGTGACAGCTGCTCCTCTGAAGTTTGGTCTATCTGAAGCTGTTCCACTTCAGCTGAGGAGCTCTCCGCTGGGACTACCCGCCTATCATCTCCAACATTAAGCTCCTTTTCTCCTCCTTCCTTGTTTCCTTCTAGACAAGCGGCCTCGGGTTTGGGGGTCTTGGAGTCCTCATCTACCCCCTCCGTTGGCAGCAGAGCTTCAGCCGGCACTGGAGAAGAATTCAAAGGCAAAGCTGGTGTTTGTGGACTCTGATCCGTCACAGCAGCTGAATCTAAAGTTCTGCTCGTCACCCCCTCCTCTGAGGGTCGACTCGATGACCGTGGCTCTGCAGTGGGGGGGTCTGCAGGACTCGTTGCAGACTCTAATGGCGATGTGGGACTGTCTTCTGTTGTTTTACTGTCTGCTGGTGGAGCAGGTGAGCTGAGCTGTGTTTGTGTGTTTGAGTCTACAGGCCTCTCTGCGGCTCCTTTATTCAGGCCGGCAGCTGCAGGAGCACTTCTCTGAGGCTGCTGCTTCTGCTCGGGGGGGCACTCTACTCGCGTTACCATAAAAATCTTATGCCCCCTGCCTGGACTCGAGACAGAAATGCAGCGCCCAGGAGAGGGAGGGGTCCCCGGAGGAACTGTAGCTTCTGTGACCGTTATCCCAGATATGACACTTGGTCCTGCAGCAGGTGAGGCTGAGGGGGGCGAGGGAGTACGTGAGGCACTGAGGGGGGCCGCTGCAGGGGCGTGAGGAGCAGTCTGATTTGAGCAAGTGGAGGACTTAGGAATGGAAGACGTCACCACCTCTTCTTCGTCCTCATCGTCAGTGTCGGAGTCTGACTCCAGAGCTGCTGGGGAGACGCTGGTCTTGGAGCTCGACTGGATACTTGTTTGTGATTTGTCCTCTGCCTCTTCCTCTCCCTCTTTATCATCTCCTTCCCTCCTCTCATCAGGTGCTGGCTCCTCTTCATCCTCCTCTTCCTTCATCCCATCCTCTGTGGCAATTTCAGCCATGGAGGTCGACATCCTCATCTTCTGCTCAGTTTCCTCCTTCTCCTTGGCAAGAATGAAGTTCCTCTTGCAGCCGTTCTGGATCTCAGTCAGCAGGGCGCGCTGCGTCTCGATGAAGCTTTTCACCTGAAAAACAACAACAGAACCGGTGTCTCAGATGTTTGATCAAATACTTAAATTATAACCATGATATAATATTTATCTACAGTTTTAGCTTCTAATTTCTCCAAACAAGCTCCTGCTAAATCTTCACATTGGACCCATGTGTTCCAAACTGGAACAAAAATCTTAAGATTAAAAACCTTTTAATTTACAGAGCAGCTGAGAACAAAAAGTTTTAAATTACTGCTTTAAACAGTAAAAAGGAGGGGAAAATAGTTGTTAATAAATATCAATTACAAATTTGGAACCAAACAGACTTTCTGGGGCCAAATATCTGAGGCTGTTTCTGCACTAAAAGCTCAGATTTAAGGAAATAAAAGGACATGTTTGCAGCTGCCTGTTTCATTGACAACAATTTAATTCTTTTTGACTTTTTTTATTATGTTCAGTGTGGACTTTTTTATTTCTGATCTTAAAACAAAAACCAGTGCTGCAGAAATCTTATGATAAACACAGCAGTGCATRTTCTAAAACATTAATTTTATTACAAATAAAATCACAATAGTAACCAAGATAATGGGTGCTGCATTTTGTTTTTAGAGTTCTGTATATTTTGTCAAAGATCAATAAAACGCAGGACGCTTACAGCTTCCTTCTTGGGCTCTCGGTCCAGGTCGAGACGCAGCAGAGAGTTGTTGACCTTTAAAGCGAGTGAAAGGGCCATTAGCCCGCCGGTTTTGATCTCATTCTCTCGGAGGTCCAGACGCAGCAGTCTGGGGCTCTCTGCAATGAATTCAGCCACGGCGACAGCTCCTACAGCATAAAATGAAAAGAAGAGGTTAATTAAAGCCAACTCACACACAGGAGCTGCATCTCAAACAGAGGTTTAGTCCTACCTTCACAGGTCAGCTTGGTGGATGCCAGCCCCAGCCTGAGCAGAGAGCGGTTGGCGATCAGACCTTCTTTTAGCTTCAGGACTCCTTCGTTGCTGACTGAATTATGGCCGAGGTTTAGAGTCTCCAGACTCTGGGTGCATGGCTGAGAAACACAAACCTCCAGTTCATTTTCAGCTCAGAACTTTGACATAATAAAAAATCAGCTTGTTTAATATGTTTTATGCTGCTGGTATTTTTGTCAAAATAAACTAGAAGAACAACGTGGTAAATAACTGAGATTACTGTAAAATATCCATCTGCTGCTGTTTGACTTACATAACTTTATTTCATGAGATTAATAAATCAACAACTCTTCTAGATAATTAATCACCACAGTTTGAGTTTAAATTACTGCAACAAATATGACTAAACCTGGCAACAACTGAATGTGTAGGTTCAGAATCTTGAGTAGAAAATGTTCACTCATATTATATCCCACAACACTCACTATAAAGCATATTTATCCCCAAATTACATATCTGACACTTAGCTCTACACTAAAACTCCAGTGATGTGTTGAAGGACAGGTAATATAAAATACAATTCACCAGACTTTAAAAGGAGGTGAACTTTTATAAACAAATCAATCCACAAGGAGATACAGCATTATAGTTCTCAATGCTGTTCCACTTAGGAGTGATAAATTGTCACTGAAATGGTAATAACTAAGCAAAAGCTGTTAAAAATAATCAGATCCAATAATGTATAAAAACATATTGTCTTTCCTCTAAATTACCTATGTCACTTGTGTGTGTGTGTGTGTAATATACCAGTGCAGCAGCGAGGTATCCCATCCCATTGTGTGTGAGCTGGTTGTTCCATAGCACCAGGGTGACCAGGCCCTTCCTCTGCTCTTTCAGTCCTTCACACAGGTAGGCCAACCCTGAGAGAACAAATGTAAACACGTGTTACTGATCAATAAATAAATAAATGCTGTATTTTTCCTTGAATTTTGCTGAAAATACTCAAACAAATAATTCTATCCCAGCAAAAATAAAATAAAATAAAATAAAAAAAGGTTAAACTTTGTTGCGTACCAGAGTCGAGGATGTGATTATTGCGAACGTCCAGAATCTGAATGTTGTAGTTGAACTTGAGCAAGTTGCCGAGCTGAGCAGAGTCCTGAAGACCACTGAGCTTGTTGTCAGCCAGGTACAACTCCCGCAGGTTCATATTCATCTTCAGGGCCGTAGCTGAATGGAGAAATAACCAACAAAAGAAACTAAAGGATGAGATGATGGCAGTATTATTTCAGAAGAAAAAAAAAGATAAAAAGCCTTGATGAAGATGAGAACTGAAAATCAAAAAGAGTTTTTTTTTTTGTCTGTCGTACCCAACAGCATGAGCGGTCTGCCCGACAGACCGGCGTTCTCCAGGTGAAGGATGGCCAGGCTGCCACTGATCCTCAGCGCTCGTGCTACAAACGGAGCAGAGTGGTCCAGTAGAGGAGTGTTACGAGCTTCAAGATACTGGAGAGAACTTGTCTGAGGGTGGAAACACAAACAGAGGTATAAAGATTATGCATCAAACATTCATTAAAATGAATAAGATATGAACCAGTAGACATCATTTCAAAACGAATACAAAAAATCATTTTATGACAATCTTTATGTAGCTGTTTAATCCAAAACTTTAACTTTGGGAATCAAGGACAGCCACTTTCCACCACATCAGCTGATTAAGATCTATTTTCTGCTGAAATTAACTACAACTTTTTTTTTTTTGGCGAGCCGTGACACAAACAGAGTGAAATAAATCCTGGTGTTGCAGCTTCAGGCTATCATTCTTCGTTTGACATTTAACGTTCGGAGAAAGAGCGACTGTCTTTTGGTACAAACTGATCAAATGTTAAAGTAGCTGCGAACACAGATATGATAAAACAAGAAATCAACACTTTGTATAAAGCTTGTTACAAGGCTGAATTAACAGGTTTTCACTTTGTAGGATGTTAAGTTTCAACCCAAACTGATTATTCTTGTTTTAAAAACTGCATAATTTTCAGATTCCTTTTATCTCAAATATTAATCTAAAACACAACACCTGATGGTTTCTTTTTTGTTACTGTAGCAGCATTATGTGCTTTGAATATGCTTTTTACATGCATGTGTTTAATAAAATTCTTGACAGCAACGTGTTTTTGTAGATCCATGACTACTTTAGCAACATTTTTAATCCTATCCAGATCTTTTGTCCTGTAGATTGTTATTGTTGGCCCGTGTTTATAAGAATGAGCTCACCTTCCTCATCATGTGAGCAGCCGCCTGCCATCCTCGTGTGCCGATGTGTTTGTTGAAGGAGATGTTGAGATGTGTTGCCGATTCGTAGTACTCTATCATGTCAAAAAGTGCGGATGAACCCTGGAAAAAAGCACATGAAAATAGAAGAGTCCATGAGATCAGAAAAACATTTATTAAAATCTAAAACAACTAAAGTAACAGTTGGTCACAAGGTCAGAACCTCTCAGGAGAGGTGCAACCAAACATCTTAAGCACAAACTAAATGTAAAGGAGTAAAATAGTGTCGTATATGAACTATTGAAATATAGAAAAGAAAAAAATACATACACAAGCAAAAAATGTTGTTTTTTTTGATTGGACAAAGGAAAACAAACATGGTTTTATTAATTTTTTAAAGATTTCTGTTAAAAACTAAAATGTTTTGCAAATTTATAGTTTGAAAAACAGATTTAAAAATGATACAAATTCAATTATATTAAATATTCTCAACTAAAGTTGTGAGAATATTTCTCCTAAAAACTTTTAATATCTGACTAAAAAATTAGAAAGCAAATATTGGAAATGTTAAAACCCCCTTTTGGGCCGATACATAAAAAGAATTCTTAATTAATTTTATGTTTAACAAGTTATCAGAACATTCACCCGTAATTTTACACAAATATAACATAATCATTTTTTACAAATGAACTCATTAAAAAAGAAAAATTTACTGTGACCTAAAGTACTTTTTAAATGTTCCTTCAAAACATAACCATTTTCATAATTTACTAGAAAATCATCTAATTCCTTGTCAGTTGGAAGATAATCAACTAAAACTACAGTAGTTATTTAACGCCTGCCAACCTTGTGTGTGGTTGTGTGTGGTTGTGTGTACACTAGGAGACATGACTGCACACGTGTGTTTATCTAATGGGCGGGGGAAGATGAGTCAGATTTAGTCCTAATAAAAGCCACCCTGTTGATCACGCTCTCCACATGCTCTTCAGAACATCTCTCTACCAAACTGCTCCTCTTCTTTTATCCTCCCAACTCCTTCCTAACAAAGCACCAACGCTGCACAGACGAGTCTCTGCCAAATGAAATCATCCACTCTATCCCTCGCACACCCACTTAAAAATAAAAACGAACCCATCCTTTCACCAATTCAATGTGTGATTTATCCCCCGTTCTTCCAAACTCAGCTCAATCAGCRGCGCTTCTCTCATAATTCCTCTTTTCACAGTCTCATTTCATCAGAGCCCGAGGCGGGACTCGACTCTGGTGACTCAACTGCTGACTCATTCAGCAACTTCATGCATCTTTCCAGCAAAGTGCTTTAAATTGGTTAAAAAAATGATTCAAATGCCATTTGTTTGGATTTTGTGGAGGGTAGAGTCTTATAAATCAAAACRGTTTTATTTTGTTTATTGGCATTTTCTTTAAGGGGTGGGGGGTGTTATGCAAAAATCGACTTTTTTGAGCTTTATATTACGCTTTGACTCATTCATGCATGTTCGTGAAATCCTATAATCTCCTGTGGTAGTCATGTGAAGCTGCCTAAACACTTGCTGCTACAAAGATCTGCCTATTTRTACATAGCCCCTCCCTGGAGCTCAGTCCACAGCYGAGGTCCTGCCCCACAGAGCACTCCTTCCTCAATGTATCATTTAAAAATGTGCTGAAGTGGGAGTGTTCGAAATGGTAGGAGGWTTTTAAAAGAGGCARAGGCCAATTTCARGATGTTTATATAGGCTATGARGGAAAGTCAAATTTATTTTTGATATATATAGCATTTTTATAACAAYTGAAAGAAACAGTGCCTGTGGTATAGAACTGAACTAAGTGCCTGGAAAATACATATCGCTTATTTGTAGAAAATGTTAGAAAAATTAAGCCTCGTTTTGTGCTTGATTGCAAATATTTAAGGCATAAATTTAGGGAAAAAATTAATGCTGTCTCTGATTTGAGCCATGTAAAAGTAGAAAAAAATTTCCACCTCTGCATCTCTGTGTCCTCAACTTTAACTTCACTCAACTCCTGCAGCATTCACCGAAGAAATGTCAAATTTAAACAGTTTTTTCTTTTATATTAATTGCAAAAATGGCAATATGTTCACAATGTTACTTTAAAATAAAACAGAATTAACACTGGTCTATTAGTACTTTGTTTTGTGTTTTCTAACCTACCAACATATTCCTGCTTTTTAATCTTTTTTGACTAGCCAAAGAATGGAAACTGTATCTTTTATAATTTGCTATGAATGAAGGCATGAACAAAGCCAACACAGTAAAAATAATCGTTAACATAATTTTAAAATGAGCCTTTATAACACTACCATGTGATTCTAAAAACTTTAAGAAAACACAGCCAAGGGTTACAGAAGGGTTGGATAGTTTAAATTTTGCTCAGCTCTGTTCTGTCTAAAATCAACTGCAGAGAAAATAAGAGCGCTGACGCAGCCGTCTCTTCCTGTTGTGTTTCATTTTGTCTGAAGCATGTCACACACCTGTTCAGGTAAAGAGTTACAAAGTAAGCCAGTTGGAACAAGCAATTAAATAAAAAAGTGGAATTTGAGAACTGACGTAAATGTGATGACGCATTTATGACACAGAGTGGGGCAGAAAATACAGCCTTATAAGTTCAAGCAGTGTGACAAAAAGAGCTCCACAAACACTGATTTCAAGAACAACAGGTAAAAACTTAATTAGATGTTTTTAAAATGTCTCTTTTTTTAAAGAAGGATAACTTTGTAACTACTGATGCAGGCTGCTGTGAGCTGGCATTTGACATTTAAACTAAATGCTTTGAATATTTCTTTCAGTACTGATTCAAACGACCGCTGCTGTTATCTCGTTTTATTTCCTGCCAACTCTTGCTTTGCTAAATATGTTCACAAGCCTTTTCCACAGAATGCACAAAGGATAAACAAAACAGGATGGACTTATTAGGATATTTTGGATTTATTTGAAATACAGCCACACTACACTGCTAAAGTGGGGGTCTGTCCAAAAATCCTCTAATCTACAGGCATCTCTGAGAAATATAATTAGCAAATGTGGTGAAAAAACAGCTGCAGCGAAAATGAATAAAGAAATTATTGAATCATTTGATGAATTCATCCTCACTATTTCAGTCATGGTCTGATACGCTGCGGCCACTGCCAAAAACAAAACGAGACCGCTACAGGTCAGGGGTTCTGCTGGGAAAGTGACATGGCTACAAACTGCTCTCGCTCCAGATCTGTACACCTCCAAGACACTGAGGCAGGCCTGAAAGATTATAGATGACCCCTTCTACCTTTGAAACATCCTTAAAGAAATACTCCCCTCTAACTGGAAGTTTGGTCCACATTGGTCCAACAGTACCTTCCCATCAACTGTTGGACTAAAACACTCTTTAGGATATTCTGTTCTCACCATAACTCCTAAAACAAGCAGATCATAAATCAGATTGACTAACTTTGTTTCATACTTTTGTATATTTTWATTTTAATTTTTAAATATATCTGCAGATGTTTCAATTTATAACTTTCAAGAGTTCCTGTTTGCATGTTTTTTCCAAAATGCCAACTGTGTGTCACAGTTTTTGTGCATTTGTCGTGTTATGAACCTTTCTGCACCTTGTGTAAACCTGGCGATACAACAAGATTAAAATGTTACGCCATAATTTACATAAACCTTTCAGTCAAAGAAGCTTGTTCTGTGTATCTTGCTTTCGTCTGTATGACACACACGCTTCACACTACAGCGCTAGCTGTCTGCGCATGTCTGGAGCCAAAACATCTCCTACAGTGTTTACACAAGTGGACATCTGGGATAATCAGAGAAGATCAGGACAAACACTCCATATCCTGCCAGAATTGCAACAGTGGAAAAGATGATCACAGGGAGGCCGAATGTAGAAAGACAGAGGATGAAAGTTTTTAGGTTCTGATCTTACATCTTCATCCAGGTTGGTCTGCTCCAGGTCGATAAGTTTAAATTGGACTCTCTTTAAAATCTCCTCCAGAGACTCGCAGGTTTTGTGGTCCAGCTTCTCACCTGAAGACATGAGCAGAGATTTTAATTTACTATTTTCAAAAACAGTTAACACCATAGCTTTGTAAATACGTATTCTTAAAAGTAAAATCTTAGCATTGACAGTTTATTTTACAACGTGTAACTACAGACACAGTAAATGCTTAATACATGACTGATGCTTTTTAGTGCTTACCTTTTAGATCTAAGCAATCATTTCTTTGTGTCAGGTCTTTAAGTTCCTACAAAAACAAAAAACAAAGTGAGTCAGGTTGAGTTCACTTTGTGTATTCTCTTATTGAAGCAGACTTTGCTTTTCACATGTTGAACCTTTTATATCACAGGAGAAGCGATTCAATAAATCACTGGAGGAGATAAGGCACAAATGTTGTGCAAACTAAGATAAACTATTAGCTACAAACATTTTCTTTTGCTGTTGCTGACTGAGCTCAACTGACTTTGATAAGTCAGTAAATTACATATGGCTTTCTCCTTTTTGCTGCATGTTGTCATTTCAGGTGCATGACAAACTGAGCCTCTGATTTTGTTAAACTGGTACATTTTTTCCACTTGCTCTTTTTTAAATCAAACTCAAACCAAAAATGATGTTGCTTTAGTTTTGTTTTTCTACTCTTCCTAAAACACAGCAGAATAAAAATATTTTTAAAGTGTTGTTAAAGGTACATTTTCCATGGCTAATTCACTGCAAAATGCTTCTCATGGTTTGATGGCTACACTTTCATAAAGTGGCCATGACATGAAACATTTGAATCGCAGCAGAGTGGAACCATTTAAATAAAAGTAAATCAAAAGGTGGGCTTAAATTCAAAGCAGCACAGGTGTGTAGGGAAACTAAACTGCAAACCACACAAGTTCATTTGAAAACTTCAACATGACTAAGAGACTTGCACAGTTTGAAGCAGAATTAAAAGCAAAGTTTCCCCGTGTGGAACCTTGAGTTCCTTTTCAGTCATTTCACTCAGTACAACACACAGTTGTATATGGGACACGCGCACCTGGCTGAAGCCACCTCTAATCACGTCTTTAGACCAGTGACGTGGTGACGTTGAACGTCTGGTGACAGGCTCCGCCTTCACCCTATAAGTTCGGAGTCACCAGCGTCATTACTCTGTTCTATCGCCCTTCACCTCGCGATAGTCACCTCTAAACCTGAGCTCACRTAGCTGCTGCTAGTTAGCTCAGCTTCTAAGGTTCTTAGGCTAGCTTTACTGGTGCTAACCGTGTTACCTGCTGGTTCGTATGTCTGCTGCTCGACGCTACTTAAATGACCTTTATTTTCTGCTGAAAATCTGTTTTGTGGTTCACGATGAGCACAAAACCACCTTCGAAGAAGCCGAAGTCTTCTGTTCACCCCTGTCCTCAGGGGTGCGGCTTTAAGCTTCATGAGAAGGACCAGCATGAGGCCTGCCCGGCCTGCCTAGGAATCATTCACGCTCGACGGGCTCGAGTCCTGCCGGGCCTGTGCTGGACTTTCGCATCCCGACACTGGAGAGGAGAGTGAAATTCCTGGAGAAAATGCTGGGGGAAACTGCTGTTTTCCGACAAGACCCGCTGCTCTCCGAATCCAGCCAGACGGCTCAGTCCGACGAAGACGAGGATTCGGCGGTCGAAGCCCCCGCTGCTAGCTGGGCGGACCAGATGGAGCACGAGGCGGCCTCACCCGACATCGAGGGGGGCGAGACYCAGTTTCTACTGGATCTAAACCAAGAGGAGGACGATGTTCTGCAGATGGAGCAGGAGGTTCTCAGTCTGTATGAAGACGACGAGGAGCCGTGTCCAGCTCACTCCATGCCCGCTGCTGAGAGGGTGGACCAGGATTCGTCCATCTTGTCTCTGTGCCGCCGAGCTGCTGCTAAACTGGAGGTACAGTGGCCCGACCCYCCACCTGCTCAAAAGCCGTCGAGGTTCGCAGGGTTTTATCTCCCGTCTGAACCGGCTGATGTGAAGCACCGTCTGCCTATGTTTCCAGACTTTGTGTCKGAGCTGACGTCTTCCTGGAGCAAACCACTGTCCATCCGCGCCTTCGTGCCTGGACAGGGTCAGTACTTGGACGTGGAAGATGCAGACCAAGCAGGCCTGGTGGGCATCCCTCCGATGGAGCCTTCTTTAGCCGCTTATTTGGCTCCGTCTCACAACCAGGGTGTGAGCGGGCCCACCCTGCTCCCTTCCAAGCCCTGCAGATTCTCTTGGGCACAGCTGGAGAAAATCTACAAAGCCATCCTCAAAGCTCATCCTCCTCCGTTCAAGAAGGCGGCGACGCCCGGGACTTCAAAGGCCCAGGCCGCCGAACCTTCCAGCAAGCCGCAGCCTCCCCGTCAATCGGCATGGAGCAAAGGCCCCCCTCCGAGTCAGCAGGACAGTTCAGCGGCTCGGAAGAAGAAGTCAAAGTCCTCCTAACAGCAGGACTGTCTTCACAGGGACTTCAAAAACAGAGAGACAATGTTCAGCTGTAGTTGAAAAGACATTTAAAGGTTTGTGTTTCAGAAAACGGCCCCAAGAGGCGTCGGGTTTCAAATGTTCAGTCTCCTCTGTTAATGTCCCGAAAAATAAACAAAAACATGTAGCCCCCTCCCTGGATGTAAATTGTGTTTTAAAATGCAAAACTTTAATAAACAGTTCTGCAAATGTTTTCAATGTGTCATTAAAGAATTATCTTTGTGCACAAACGAACACAATAAGCTGCGGGCGACAGTCAATAATGTTGTTCCTTCCCCATCCAGTGGAGGGCAGCAGCGACACGTCTCCAACAGTCAGTCACTTAGCAACGTGACTCCCTCTCTGGCACACATGCGCACCCTCTCCATGGGTACAAAGAACTGTTGCTATGGGTTACAGGCTGCAGTGCCGCGTCAGGCCGCCTCGCTTTCGGGCCACTGTAAACACAGTGGTGACAAACAAGGCAGCCGCCATTTTAAGAGAGGAAATTTGCACGTTGCTAACAAAGAGAGCTATTCGAGTGGTTCCAGCTGCAGGAACACAAAAAGGTCTGTGCAGCCGTTATTTTCTTGTTCCGAAGAAAGGGGGAGGCCTGCGGCTTATTTTGGATCTGAGAGTGTTAAACCGGTACCTTCAAACCTACAGGTTCAAAATGTTAACGCTCAAACAGCTAATTCATTCGATCAGCCCGGGTGATTGGTTTGCGACCATCGATTTAACAGACGCCTATTTTCACCTAGCGATTCACCCGGAGCACAGAAAATATCTCAGGTTCGAATAGAACCTGCGTTAGAAGCTGCGTTGACTCCTCTCAGGGAAAGGGGGGTCCGTCTGTTAGCATATTTAGATGACTGGGCTCTGATCGCAAGCTCCAAGGAGCAAACATTAGATCAGCTGTCTCAGGTTCTGTCAYACATTCAGGCTTTAGGGTTTTTAGTAAACACGCAGAAAAGTCTATTAACACCAAGTCAGCAGTTTTTGTCCCTCGGACTACAAATCTGCTCCTTGTCAAGCAGGGCTCGCCTCTCAGAAAACAGAGTGGCAGCATTTCATCGCTGCTTAGCTCAGTTTCAACTGGGACGCAAACTGAGCTTCAAAACCGTACTACAGTTACTGGGAATGATGGCTTCCATGATTTCAGTAGTAAACAGTAGTATTTCACCGTTTGTGGCTGCTGCTAACCCACACAGAGGTAAAGCTCTTTCTAGACAAAGACTCTCTCACTGGTTTGTAGAGGCCATCTTGCAAGCATACAGCAGCAAAAACCTTCCAATCCCTCTTGGAGTTAAAGCTCACTCCACCAGGGGTGTAGCGACATCTTGGGCCCTTTTTAAACCTGTGAGTGACATTTGTGCCACGGCCAGCTGGGCCTCACCAAACACAGTTGCACGATTTTACAGCCTGGATGTAACAGCACCTTCAGTGGCTCATTCTGTACTTTCTGCCGGGTCCAAAGCTCTGCATTAGTACAGTACTTACTCAGGCACACTACTTAACTCAGGTCTGATACTGCTCTGCGAGGCGCTTTGACAAGTCCCATATACAACTGTGTTGTACTGAGTGAAATGACTGAAAAGGAACGTAAGGTTATGAATATAACCACGGTTCCTTGAAGGAATAGAACGAAGTACAACACCTTGTTGTCCCCGCATCACAAAGGCTCGGTGAAGGGCGGTATCTAACTGAGTAATGACGCTGGTGACTCCGAACTTATAGGGTGAAGGCGGAGCCTGTCTCCCGACGTTCAACGTCACCACGTCACCGGTCTAAAGACGTGGTTAGAGGTGGCTTCAGCCAGGTGCGCGAGGGCGCGCGTGTCCCATATACAACTGTGTGTTGTACTTCGTTCCATTCCTTCAAGGAACCGTGGTTATATTCATAACCTTACGTTTTATAAGCGAGACACTGTGGACATATTCACACATAAACAAAACTAATCATTAAAAAATGCTACTTTTATGCGTCTCGACTGTACATTCTTTAACCCTGTTGGTAATATACCTTTACAATCTCCAATGTAGTCCACAACATTTGATTGACAAGTGGTATTTAATCTCTTAACCTGTCTAAAAAATTAAACTACCAGCACAAACATAAAACAAACACAGTGTCGCCCTCAAAACTATGCAGCAGCAAATTCCCGTCTCTAGATGACGGTCCAGTCCATTCAGGATGAACTCTGTAGCCCCTGTCCTTCTGCCTCACTGCCATGGCTGACTGCAGTGATGCAAACAGTCCCACAAAAACATGAGCTTATTCGACAAATAATTCATCTACAAAGCTGTCCTGCAAGATACAAACAGGACAACAAACCTATACCAGTTTCTGATTACAATTTGTAAAACAATTTAAAAGAAAAATTAATGCATGCACATTTGAGCTGACTGATCATCAGTGCAGTCTCTACCTCAGTTCAATAGATTTGACTTTAATGGTGCCACTAAAACTTTATGTTCTGGTCACCTGATAGTGATGTACAGGAAAAAATTTAAACTAAGTGAATGAATATTGTAGTTTTTTTGTACAGAGGGTATATGCAGTTAGGCTCTGGGGGAAGACAACTGAGAATATAGTTAATGAATATGATTACCAATTCAACAACTAAAAATGTAGTTGTTTGATGTAGTGAAAGATAATGGTTTATCAGATGACAGAGAATTTTAGCTCTGTATTTGTCTCATTGCTCAGAGTACTAACATATTTTTAAACAGGGCTGCTTGATATTGTAAAAACTGTATGTGATATGTTTTAGATATTGTAGCTATTACGYCAGTTAAAACAAACCCACATTTTACTCATTTTTCACTTTCACCTACACCAGGTGTGGGCATCAATGGAGGGGAAGCAAAAACGTAAATTTGCACTCCACTTTGACAATTGAGGGTGCAGCTGCTCCACTGATCAGGTGCCTGTGTCTGCAGATCAAGTGTGGATATACAGAAGCTGAGGCAGCAGAAGATTTTGCGCAAGATTTACAATTTCATGCCACTTAAATGGTGTCAGCCTTCAGGGACTTCAGGGCCTTTGCACCCTACGTGAATGTAAGAATTGTATAATGAGAAAAACGACTTGTTCCAACAGAAAATGGCACCGCAAAAATGTGGCCAAGCATCCATGTTTTAAGACTCCAGTGGGAGTTTCTGTGGAGGCATTCAACATGTATCTGCTAAATGGAGACCCTTGAAAAACAAACAAACATATTACCACAGGTGGTAATAAGAACCTGTAAGGTCACTGGCAATGAACCAAGTGCAGAAACCAGTTAGACCTAATAAAGAAAGTATTTAGAGTGAAGGAAGGGAAGTAATAAATGGTACGTAGTAGTAGATGGTTGAACACATCTCACTGATCACCACTCACTTGGACAGCCATGTGGCTTGTTTATGTAGCTGCAAACTGCAGGGATGACTAAGCAGAAATGAACAGTGGCTGCTAGTAGACCAACAGACTGTCCTGGCTCTAGACAGAAAAACTGAATATGGAAATGTCACATTTCAACAAAGACTGGCATTATTTTCTCTAAGTGTGGAAATGAACTCTCACTACTGTTCCAGCAATAAGCTAAATACTTGCAGTCTAATAACACTATGCAAATATGACTGCCTACCACCTTCCTCCCACCAGACTCACTGTGCAACAAGTAGGACTCTGAAACAGAGCTGGGTTTTGCAGCTACAGTGCACACACTGTAAAAACAAGCCCGAGCCTTTTTGAGTTTTGTGAAATTGTATCTACAAGCTAATGAGCAACAGTGTTGAATCAAAAAGATCACCAGATAAGCACACATTTAGCTACACAAAAAAAGTCACCACTTGCCTGGTCAGCTGAGAGTTTGGGATAACATCTCAGCTACTTGTGGATATTCACATCACAGCGTTAAGCTGCAGCTGAAGAGATCACTTGGTCTTTTCAGAAGCATCTGAATAAACTGAGCCATTTTACATTATTACACATTAAGCAACTCAGTTTGAACATTTTCTTTTGCTTTCTGACATGTGGACTTTGTATGAGCTACATATTAGGTTTCAAGTGTCATCCAGACTGAGTTACAGGTGGACAATAATCTCGTTTTTTTCCCCCAACCAGGCGTCTGAAAAGGCCTTTTTGTTTTGTCTGGCCACGTCTTCCCATTTCCTCKTTTTCCTGCTCTGCACTACAAAAACATATTTGACAGAGGAAACACTTCAACTACAGTGAGACAAAAAGGCATGTGTATCAGTTCACACACAAAGGCCCAAAATACACACAAATAAATAGCCCTGAGGCTTCCTTCAATAGATATGAAGAACTACTTACACAAAGGGATTTCATGACTATCTGAGCCATACCATTTAAACACTGTCTGTTGTGACTAATAACCTGAAAAAAGCCCAAATAAAGGTCCTAGTTAATCCCCACTACAGATGAAGCCATGAAATGATTAAATTAAAACCATCCACCTCTATTAACAAAAGTAACAACTAACAGCTGCTGGATAGTTTGCAAAAATAATGAATAGATATATAAAAAAATTCCACATCAAAATTGAACCCATTAAACATATGACAATTATTCAACTGATGTAATAAAATAATAATTTTAAAAACCAGACTTTATTTTTATGTGAAAAGAAGAAGAAAAATTGTTAATTTATATTTAGGTGAGAGCTTTTCAGGAATCATATGCTTGTTTGCTTTGAAGGATTAAATGTAAAAAGATCTCCAGGGTACAATTAAACACTTGAGCTCAATGTGCCATCCTGAAAAACCTCCCTTCTACAGTATCAGTGTCTGCAGTCAGAAAGGACATCAGTGCAGAAGAACAGCACACTATAAGTTCAACAACATTTAAAAAATAAGAAATCGGGATTTAGCATTTTAGAGGTGTGAGGCTTTAAAGTCCTACGTTTTATTTGTTGCTTTGTGTGTGTATGTTTGTAAGGTTGATCCTTACCTGAATCTGTTTGAGCACTTTGGGTATAGGCTTACAGTTAAGTTTCTGACAGGCCTGTTTATAGGAAGAGAGGATCTCTTCCACCGTCACATTATGAGCTGCAAAACAGAAGAAAGAAAGCAATCAAAAGGTTAGAGAAGCATTTTCTCTGCATTTTTGTCATTCTCAAGGGGGTAAACAGACAAATTCACACACAAAGAAAAAAAAATCAGACTCAAGTGAAAATGCAATGAAAGAAAAGTTARCCATCCATGTCCAGGAGGTTCAAGACAGATTTTATGATTGCTTAATATGACTGATGCAACAACATGTCAGAAAAGTGTAAAAGGTTTGGTTTAAAAAGTGTGTAAAGTTTGGATGTGACCATTAAAATACAATTAGGCCCACATCCATTTGGACACAATGTATGTTTTTTTTTTTACCGGTTTACTGAAACATATTCAAGTTATAGTTAAACAATGGAGAAGGACACAAAATCCAGACTTTCAGGTTTCATTTGAGGGTATCCACATTAAAACTGAATGAAAGGTTTTTGGAGTTTAGCTCCTTAACATGTCCCCACCCCAAAGTGGCGATATAAAAATAAACAAATATCAGATGCATGCTCATGTGTTCAATAGGATCAAACCAGCTGCTCATCAAAGCTGTTCATCTTACTTATTTAACAACTGGCTTCAGAGAAGAGATAATTATCAGCAAAATGACATACAGAAGGAAGAGCTGCTCAGAGTCCTGTTCTGGTCCTGCTCCACATGAACAAACACGCCCACTAAGTTCTGACCAGTTACACAGTGGGCCACAAGGTCCGTAGTGCAGCGTTTTGACTGGGGGCAACGTACACAACAGCTGTCACCGGGGGATAGCAGCAGGATAGCAGACGAAAGTTACGCAATTTTTTGTCAATCAGCGGGGGAATCAAGCCGTGCGACTTTAAGTATAAACCAAGCTTAACTGTACATACAAAACGCTAACATGGTTGTGTGAACATTACTTGTTGGCAAACACTTATCCCATAATGTTAGTTGCCACATTGAAATTTTGTAATCACCGAGTCATGCATAATTGGTGGCAACACGACGGCTCAGTGGTTAGCACTCCCGCCTCACAGGGTCTGATCCCCAGTTTGGACGTGGGGTCTTTCTGTGTGGAGTTTGCATGTTCTCCTCATGCTTGTGTGCGTTTTCCCCAGGTACTCTGGTTCCCCCCACAACACAAAATATGTACAATAGATTGTCTTCAGGCCAAGGCCGCCTCTTGCAAAAAAGATCAGCGATCTTAATGGAATTTGCCTGGTAAAACAACGGTAAAACAAATAATAAAAAAATAACAAAATTGTTGGTCAGAGTTCTAACATCAGTAAAAGCACAGTGGTTCTGATATCCAATCCTTTGGGAAACTCAAAATCATTAAAACAAACCATCTTTAATCATCTCACAAATCTTTAAAAGAGAGATTAATCTACCCTGTTGCAGAATATTTATACATAACTTTAAAAAAGTGTAAAACGGAGACACAATGAGAATACGACGACTTAATTGTGACTTATTGGTGTTCAGGCCTCAGGGAGTGCTTGTCTGACATCAGCRATTGTAGCCCCTTTAGAAGTGCCTCTACTTAAGTCAGCAAAAAAAGAAGGTATTGTTCTTGGTTTCTGAGTGGGTTTGGTGCAGTTGCCATCCCAGACTGTTGCAGGAGGCTAACTCCAGTCAGATGACTGGAAAACACTCAAAAACCACTGTTCTCMTCTGGCTGAAAACTCAGCTGAAAGGTGAAGCGCAGCGCTCAAGCCGAGAAACAGACACAGAGATGAAATAGACGAACAGAAAATATAAAATTTTGCATGTCACACGGGCAAAATAATTTGTTTTACATTTTATTTCTTAAGTTTGTTTCATTCTATTTTCTTTTCTTTTTRATTGTTTTAATGTCTGTTCGAAATAAATAAATAAAAAAAATATACAGATAATAAACAAAGTACATAAAAAACAAGTTTTTAAGCCTCAGCCGACAAACGCATTCAGTGTGTTAGTGTTTGAACAGTTGGCTGTTTCTTTGAATAAAGCTGACTATTGCTGCAGTCAACATTTTGATTTTGCCAAGGTGAGAACCTGTGCCCTTTACTGTTCAGCTCCATTCATCTCTACAATCAATCATCTCCCACAGTTTCTCATTAAAGTAACTCACATTTTAAGTTAAAAATCTACAGATAAATGATGCAGAGCGTGCAGCACTATGGTGTGTGGGAAAAAAAAATGCATTCCTTGTTTTCAGACCCAGACCAGTCTGATTCTTTAACGAGACCTGCTGTACATGTTTATGAACAGCCCACAGTGACAAAGTGTCTGAATGAGGCTATGGAAATGGGAAATAAACGTTTCTAATTGGCAAGTGCAGGTTTGAATCATTACAAAACTATCGCAAAAATTCTGCCATAAAGGGTGCAAGCTGATCACAAGCTAACCCTATTTTTTACATTTATTTATTAAATACTTTTATTGTCTTATTTTCTTCTTTGTGCTACGGCAGAAAAAAAGAGACACTGTTTAATATACTTCCACTCGTTTGGATTTTTTCCCCCCTGAAAAACGTTGTTGTTATACGTCTTATTTTTGTAAACGTGAACAGTTATAATTTTCCAGAACTTGTTTAAAACATATTCTGCAGCTTATAAGAATGTCATTTAAGCTGTTGCGCTTTAATCCTCATCATGAGCTCTGYCTCGCCATGAAATGATTCAGAGAGGTGCAACATCCAAAATATTTGAGGCATTTCGTCCTCCACAACTGTGGAGGGGCTTCGACCAGATTCACTGATGCTTCAGCAAGAAACAGATCCCCCACCTTACTTCAGGCATGAAAATGCATTTTCTCTATGACCCATGAGAAAAAGAGCACCACTCTCGCCAAACGTGTGCTCTTAACATTCACTGATTTATTACTGCAGTTCAATTATATCTTGAACAGCAGTAATTACTTTCTAGCCTTAATAAGTACCCTCTTGACAATAAGTGTCTTTGACTCAGTTGCTGCTAATTTGGGCAGCTCACTCAAAAAAGCAAATAATCTGGACACATCTCTGTGGATTTAATTTGAATGTGACTCTGACCTGTGCACAAGAGAGCACTTTTTTTAAAGTCAGGAACAGCCTGTGATTTCCAGTGAACAAACTGTCCTTGGAAAAGTGTTATTGTGCAGAGTTGCTGTGGAGCAAGTGTGCGAGTAAACATTTCCTGAGGGAAGGTGGGGTTTGGGGTGGGGAGGGTTTAATGCTTAATATGGGGTATTTTTACACAGCTTATTAATTAGAGAACGAAAAGGGATATGAGAAAGAGAGAGAGAGAGAGAGAGAGAGAGAGAGAGAGAGAGAGAGAGAGACAGAAACAGAATTAAGAGGGACAAAGGATGTGCTTGTTGTAATAAAAGAAAATACTATCACTGCTGGGATCTGGAAAGTTGTACAAGGGGGTTGTAATTAAACACTTTAACAAAAATAATTTAACAAAACAAAAAATAGACGCAAAAAGAAGACAGAGATAATGACTTTAAGCAAGCAGAGTCATTAAAAGCTGAGTTACAGCTGCTGCCTACATTTCTGCTTGCTCTGTCCTTGTTTTATTGCACTCTGCTGCAACATGCACAAACGGAGCGGTGATGAGGAGGCACACAGGAGGAGAGAGGAAGCCAAGAAGACTGCCCCAAACCACATCTGTGACATTCACGTTGTTGTTGTTCTTTTGGTTGCTCCCTTTTTCACATGAAAGATTTGACAATTGTTTTAAGTCGAATGCCCTTCCTGATGCAACCTGGGTTCGAACCTGCAGCCTCCAGATTACAAGACTGAACACCGAGCTGCTACACAGTTTCCTGTGACAGTCGGGTTACAGAGCAAAATGTGGTGGCCTCTTAACCAAAGCACATGCAAGAAGCAAACAATATAGGAAAGCACATGCAGGAGTGAAAGCAAAAATATTACAGAAAACAGGCTCTGAAATCTAGAAAAGGAAACATGAAAAAYACAAACAGGAAATACAAACAAGCAAAAAGATAAACACTGGTGAAGCTTGACATGTTGAGGAGAATTATGGCCTTAGTTTAGATATAAAAGAGAAAGTCACAGGCAAACAAACCTAAAAGTGTTACAATCTCTGTCCTTTTTCTGTATCAAGTTCTGATCATGTTCAGGAAGAAGGAAAGCACTTTGGGCTTAAATAGGTGAGGGTGACCCAATGGTCAAGCACAGGTGGGACATACGACTGTCTGGCATTCCTTTGCTGTATTTTCCAGCATGTCTGCTCCTTCTACTCTTTATAATCAAAATAAACACAACAAGCCCAAAACTGAAAAATGAGCAAGTGTCCAGTTATTTCTAAAAACGTGCCTATTTTTAAATCTGCCCCCAGAGTCAGCACCAGCTGCCAGCTGGATGAAATGATCGCCTCAGCAGATGACATCTCAGTTCTAGAAATGACAAATTAGAGACAAGCTGATGATATTTCTGCAGTGGAAGGAACAGGAGAGAAGAGACATCTCCGCTCTGGCTCATTAAAAACTTCTTAACAACACAGCARTAGATGCTGATTTTCCTCATTACAGTTGCTGGCTGCCATTATGCATGCACTGTTACAACAAAACCTAAAGCTGAATCACGTGCTCCTGCCTGAGCTGAGCTTGTGAGAAGGAAAAYAAAAACACTGTCACAACACTTCCTGGACTGATGACTCAGGTCAACAAGGTAAATGAAGTTATGTAGACTTATTATCCTCTTCTTCCATCATATCCATTTGATCCAGGGTTTTTCCCTTAAAAAATTTTAAAAACGCAGTCTGTGAGCTATAAGGATATTGCCTTACAATTTTTTTCATGATATAGAAGGAAGCACAATGAAGTGTAGGCAGTTCCAGTGACACGTCAGACGTAAAAAATTAGTTCAGGAAAATCCTGTTTCTGCTTCCAACAGCAGTGCACCTCATCAACACCTACACATGAAGCAAACTACTGCTTCTCAGACTAAAACAAAACAAACTGGACTTAAAACTAGGGGATACAAACAATCAATCAATTCATGATTGTTGAATAATTGTTTAATAAAAATGTTTCAT